CTGAACAGTGTATATACAGAAAAAAGCAGGTCTAAGTACACATGAAATCCTGATAAGGTCCAGACAACGAATTTATTTCCCTCGTTACCTTCTTATCTGCCTATAACTGCCGGACGCCTCTGTACAAGAGATCCTTTATTAAATTTGATACAATAATTCCACCACACAACTATTTTGAAGAAAGTATACGAATCAATGTTTCATTTGAGGAATTCCGGACTTGTCATTTCAAGAAATCTGGCAAGTCTTGTCTTGAGCAGTGTTTATCTGAGGGAGACAATATATAACAATATATACATGTCCTATGCAATCAAGAGAAATCAGAGGAATTGATAGATTATAAATATTCATGAGTTATACTATTTTAAAGTGTTTTGTCACCGGAAATTTTTGTGGAAATTGGATATATAGATTTCAACGAAATCATAGAATGACATCACAGACCTAAAAAATTTTCAGTCATTGATATAATATCGCATTGTACTTTTGGTTACAACCGGCCCAGTGGACAATCAAATCTACGTAAAAAAATAGTTGTTTGAATCGTTATTCAAGAGGAGCTTTTAAGAAAAAGAAAATGTTATTTAGAAATGAAGGACACAAATTTTATTTACGTATCCAAATCCATACAGTAAAACACGTTTATAATGAATTGACGCTTATAGTGAAAGTGAATTTCATTCTCCATGTCTTTACAATAGATTGTGAACTTAACGGATATAACGAATTACTTTTATAACGAAGCAAAATCGTCCGTCCCTGGTACTTCGTTATAAGCCTGTTTTACTGTACATTAATAAATACGAAAACTACTTGGTTTCAGTTGGAGACAACATTTACCTCCTCGGATTGTACAACCGTGCAGCAATGTAAAGTTGAGGGCGGCAGTGTAGGGTTTAAGATTATTCTTACAAAACCAAAGTGCGGACAACACCAGACGTGTTCAGTGCTCAATGGATCTCCGACATGTGTGTGTCAGAAAGGATACATTTCCAATGGGAGAGATGGCTGCTTAGGTAGCTAGGAATTATTTGCTAAATATTCGAAGCATGTTCAAATTATTTTAAATGAGTTTAATATTATTCCACATAAATTCTACAGATTTTGTTTTCAATGTTTTCTCAGAGGAAAGTCCCACGTGCAATAGCAAGAAAACTGACCTGAAATGCGAGTCGTCCAGTGGGAATAAAGTGGTGTGTACTGTTCCAAAGGCAAAAGCCGTGCTTCATGTCAGATCCACTGCATCGGACTGCAAGTATGGATCTACATATGGAATATCTGGGGACGGCATTTGGGTGTCGCTTGCATGTAAAGGGACCTTCTCTGTCTGCTATATTCCAGGTATTTTGCAAAGAAAATATACATGATATACAAAATAACTCACTATTTTATAGATTGTAATTCGCTGCATACGCTCTCTAATATTTTTTTCATTATTTCTATATCGTTATTGCAGTACCACCCCCGCCAGAATTAGGTAAGATTATGTCTCTAGACCATTTTTATCAAAATTTAAGAGCATGTGAAACAGTTTAATATTAAGATTTAAGGAAAAATGAATTTAGACACACCACTTAATATGACATACGATTGTTATAGAGTCCTTAAATGATATGAAATATCTAACCCACATAATGCCTTTTTGCAATACGAAGTAACAATCACTCATAGAATGCCTTGTTTAACTTAGAACAACCATTTTTTCTAAATGAACCTTTTGTGATAAGAAATAACTCTTTCTTGCAGAAAACTTTGTGTGATATAAGATAACCCTTCCTCACACAATACTTTTTGTGATATAACCTTGTTTGAAAAATGACTTACCGGTATTTAGAATTAAAATAGCACAAAATAACGTGTAGAACACATGAAAATATCATAACTCACAGAATGTCTTGTCTGATATATCCTCACAGAATGTCTTGCTCACGATGATCCCCTTGGAAAGAAGTACCAAGGCACCGTGTCATCTACAGAGTTGGGTTACACTTGTCAGAAATGGTCCTCTCAGTCGCCACATGCGCATTCTTTACTTACAACCTTAGACAACAACCACTGTAGAAACCCAGATAATGAAAGAGCGGCGTGGTGCTATACCACTGATCCCAAAAAGCGATGGGACTACTGTCATATTCCTGTCTGTCGTGAGTAAACATTTTACCTGTCCATCTTTTTTTTACCTCAATGTAGGTTATCAATAGAACATGTAGACATAACTCAACTGAATTTAAATTGTTTGACTTATACTGGAAAACTATTCGATGATTAATTCCTCTTCGTTATTTTGAAACTTAAGCATTTAAAAAAAAACTGATTAAAATACATATATTTCTTTCATTTTCTTTCTCTGGGGAAAATAAAATGGTTTACGTTTTGAATAATTTTATCATCATTACGTGTTAATTTTAACATTTATTTTAAGTAAATGATAATAAATTTTTTTTTTTTTTAATTCACAGCTGGTGCAAGACCAACCATAAATGTTGATGGTAAGTTTGATAAACTGTGCTAATTTTCTAATTCAAAAATAGCGAAATATGCGAAATATTTACACACTGAATTGCCGACGGATTTTTCCGTTGTTTCCCGATCATGACAAAGAGCACACGGCGGGTGCGACCGGTCGGCAGGGAATGCTCAGTCTTTTATGACATCTGGTCCCACCTCTGATGTTTTTGGAGGTCCGTGTTTGTTCTGCTCAGGATTTGTATTGTTTTAATGGACTTTGAGCTTAAATACTGTTCGTTATCTCCAAATTTCATGCTTTTGACTTCCATTAATTTGTTGCTTTGTCCCATTTTGAACATGTAGAGCTGATTTTTTTTTCTACAAATACATGTAAATTTATATATGTATATAATAATGGCTCTAGTAACACTTATTTTAAGCAGTTTTCTTTACCATGGTATCTATGACAAGTGGAAAAAATTTTAGTCTGGTCAACATGCAATATTTTGTTCCTCCTTTTAAATACTTTTAAAATTTTCATCAAACTCTGGTATTTTTTGAGCCCAGAAAACAGAGATTGTTCGTATTAAAAATCATAGTGTTCGTTTGTGTTTCTTGCTGTTTGTCCTTGTCACTTCAGAAGTGAAGTGTAAAATATTTTTACTTGCTTTTAGTTTGTATGTGTTGTCGAAGTTCCTCCTCACACAAAAAAGTAATGCTCATGTTCAGGGGATGACATGGCCCTACACTAAGGGTCAAAGCCACAGTTATTGGCACTTTTTTCTGAAATAGTTTTCTGCCTATCTTTTTTGAGACTGCACTAGAACTGTATATTTTTATATTTGTTTTGATATATTCGATGTAAATCTTATACGGTACCAATTTTGATGTATATTAAACAGATTACAGTTTTGCAGTCGAATTACTCCTTATATTTAGAATGCCTCAATGCTGGCGATCCGAAAGGACTGAAATATAGTGGTTACAAAAACACAACGAAATCAGGCAAAACATGCCAGGACTGGGGACGGCAGAGACCCCACAGTCACTCTTTCAAGAAATTGGCGGATCAAAGCAACTTTTGCAGAAATCCCGATAACGAGGCTGCTCCTTGGTGTTACACAACATCCAGCGCCACTCGGTGGGAATTCTGTAGTATTCCAGATTGCGGTATGTTAATAAGACGGTATTGTCTTCAGGATTATGATATTTGTGAATGCTTTTGTCGATGAATCATGGATTATGATATTTGTGAATGCTTTTGTCGATGAATCATGTTTATTAAGGAAGATTGGATGATATTGTAATCAAGAAATACAGTGTTTTCAAAAGTTGCCTCATGAATATTGATACTAATGAATATCGATATTCTTTTTTGATTCTTAACAGGCGAATGTGATATCAAGCAGGAGAGAAGTTTGCAGTGTGAAATCGTTTATAAGGTGACTGGCAAGTGTTATTTTGCCTCAAGTGCTCTCGGCAATTGCAAGTTCACCGTGCGTTTGAACGAATACAGAAGTGGTGAGTCGGAAGCAAGGATACTGAAGGATGGCAAAGCACACATTCTTCGTGCAGGAGATACCCATAAGAGCTGTGCCTCGTTCGAGATGCGCTCCAACACTCTGTACGTGGTAGAGAAGCTTTGCAAGGAGAAGTGTACAAAATCTCCAGTTATTGTGAATTAGGAGGCAATAAAACTAGTTATCTGTTCTTTTCAGAACTTAACCATTCTTACTTTATGTTTCATTTTTTTCGAATTAAAGTGAGTTAAGCAAAGTCACTTAGTTCTTAATTACATACTTTTTTCATTTCATCAATGTGCATGAACTTCAGAAGAAAAACATGTCAGTCAACTTCTCAGTCTGATTTCAGTATTTATAAATTAAATACAGGTATTATAACCAAAAAAACTCCATAAAAATTCAGGTAGTGTGAAAGTGGATTGGTACATGTCAAGATTCAATGAAACTGTTTAAAAAATGTGATACAAGCGGACTCGAAATATGAAGATATAAAGATATACTCGAGTATATATGAGATTTTGATTCTTTAAGTACGATTTTATCTTGGTAGATCCAGTAATTTGAAAACACGTTGTAAGTTAATGAAGACTTCAACTTCTAACACTTCAAAAGACAAGCAAAAAAATATCAAAGGGATGATGATACAGCAAAAAAATACCTTCTACAGTCCGATATTCTGTGCGATATTTTAAACAGCAATGCGGCATATATAAAGCTTTTAAATATCAATTAAATGAAGCAAAAATCAAATTGGTAAATGTTTCACAATTTTAGTACATTTCAAGAATTAAAATGATTTATAAATTAAAACCACTAATATAACATCAAATATGCAAATGTCTTGTAACTTAATCATTGTACAAAGGATTCTGAACAATGGAATTGCTTTTATCGGCAGATTTTAACAATGATTCACTTACTCAAAAAGACGTTTCCTACATGTTTTACACTTTTCTTTGTTTTTTGTCACTTTGAAATATCAGTATTACTAGCTGTGTAATATTGTTCACCTTTAAAAAAAGCAAATCATTTCCCACTTTCAATTAAGTAATTTTTATTCTCATCTTACATATACATGTATAGCGGGAAAATAAAACAGTATATCACTGTGTTGCACATGTTTGATTACGCCCTCTCTAGCTCATCTTCGTTTATTTCTAACCCCTCGTCATCACTAACGTCACGTCTCTCCTCCTCTTCCACATTCCTCCCCATCTTCTTCTTAGAACATCTTCTAAATCCGTTTCCGCGGTAACCTTTTTTACACTTGCAGACATTTCCATTGAAAAAAGCATTCCTTACGCAAGGCCCTGCAAAGATTTTTTTTAAAAGAACAGTCAGTGTTATAATTTTCTTCCTTTGAAAAACAATAGATCCTAAACTGATGAACTTCAATTTTAGAAATCGATATTTAAAAAAAATCACAAAATAAAATAAAACTTTTTTTCAGTTCATTAAACACTTTAAAAAAAAAAAAAAAGAGTTTACGTCTGCACATTAAACTAATTCATACTCTTATAACCTACTTCTACATCCATAGATAACTGTCAGGTATTTGAAGGTTCCTTTGCAAGGGTCTCCAAAAACTCCATTACTAGCTTTCAGATTACATTGCCTTCTGCCGTCACAACTTTTTACGACCAGTTTCTTTGAGTTCTTCGCTCTGCATCTTGTCGTTTTTACTGGTTTGCCTATGGCACATGTGTGCTTGTTTCTCCGCCCATATACGGCGTAAAAAACCCGGATGACTCGTCTTCCCCTGCAATGCAAGGTAACATTCTTGTGCTCGCAGGCTGTACCCTTTCCAACTTTAAACCCTAAAATGAAATAAACGTTCTTGACAAATGCAATCATATATAAATGGTTTATACATTATCTTTCGAGATTTGCAGTTGCAGTGTTTCATTTACATTTTTTGTTTTTTTTTGTTGTTGTCTGGATATGAAAATAATCGTTTTTTGTTTGAATAAAATTAACTATATCAATTCACATACAACGGACACCAGGTAAGCGGCGTCTTTTGAGGCATTGACGCTTTGCTCTATTCCATCGAAATCCTCTTCGACATCGACATCTTCCTCTGACACACCTTGCATTCTTCACACACTTTTTGCTACACCTGCGGCCCCTTCTGACACATTGTCGCCTTCTTTTACTCCATGTAAAGCCCTTCTTGCATCGACATTTTCCTTTCACACACTGGGCATTCTTTGCGCATTTCTTACTGCACTTTTTCTCTATGGAAAGAAAGAATCAAATCATTTCAAGCATTACTTACTTAGTCCTCTTTGTGCTTTGAGCACATAAGACCTGCACCGAGGACCTCCATCTCTGTCTGTCCGCTGACATTTGCTGTATTAGCATTAGTAGATAAAAAAATGAATATTGGTAACTGGTTTGACTGATACTGAGTGACACTAGACTTTTATGCATTCAAGTTAAACCACCCTGTAATTAAGGCATGATTCTACCAAAAAATGAAGATGGATCTTTCAAGAGCAATAGCCCCTGTCAAAATTTATAGACAACACTGGGTTTTAAAATAAACGAAATATTCATGAAAAAATAAATATGCAGTAACTGCTTGAAATAATAAAATGAATCTAGAATTCTAGGAGAAGCTTGTGATAGAATAATCTTGACTAACGTTTGCGACAAGTGTAAGTAACATTTAGGGAACTGGTGGGTGCCCGACAACGACCCCTGGCTCCGACCCGACAGCCTGTCCTTCCATTACAGGTCTTTCTGACCTGAATACGTGACCACCATGTCCAACATTTTGGTCTAAAACTAGAACATCTCCCGTCATTACGTTTGTGCACCATATAAAGCACATGTATTTTCCGGCCTTTTCCACACCGCAAATTCAACCTTTGGTTTCCACAAGCAAATGATCGACGGATTCCTGTTGAATTAAGCTTCGTATAGTCTGGTGAATACTGAAATTCTATTTAAGAGTCTGTTTTGGTATTTAACTCACCTTTCACAGTCCTCTCTCTGAGTTCTTCCACATCTCTAGCTGCAAAAGTAAAAATATCCCAGTAAATTCAGAGATCACAATAATTCTTAATCAATGTCGATAACGTAAAACACAGGGACGTACCTGGAAGCTGGACCGGTCTTTCCTCCTCTTCTGCTTCTTCATCTAATGACGCTAAATATTTAAATATAAAGACCAGTTATGACAGGCGTTACCTCATAACTTAAGCCAGAAAAAGAAAATAGGCTACAAACCTTTTGTTGACCTCTCTGACTCTTCTACTAGATCTCTTACTTCTTTTGCTACAATATTAGGACCAAAATGCGTGTTAAAAAAAATGTAAAAAGCTATATATTTACCGATCACATAAAAATAAAACATACCTGAAAGATGACCATGCTGTTCTTCCCCGTCGTCCGTAACTGCCGCCGCGGTCTCTGTCTTTTCCTCTCGTTGTATAGAATCTAAATTCAAATAAATTCTTATTTAAAAAGAATTCCAAATCCCTCTGTTTCATATGCATGCACTACCCATAATATCATGAGTACTTAACTGAGTAAAATCACAGTAAAGATGAATAGAGCATTAAATACAAAACACACTTACAGCGAATAGAAACCAACAATATGCCTAGAATTAGAGGTACCTTCATGCTTAGGTTGTGGTCGGGTAATTCGAGGACTGTTCTCTGGTCCATCACATATATATAGTTTGTTACAGTAGAGATTTATGGATATCGAGATCTTTACTAGTCTCTCAGAAGTATGTAGCAGCTGGTTTGGGAAGGGTTGTCCAAACCTTTGATTTTAGCGTGGTAGTAAGAGCAACGATTTTAAGTTTTTATACATAGAAATTTTATATCTTTACAGAAATGGTCTAGGGAACACAGAAGTTGATTTTTTGAATATCTTCTGAAACTTCCTCATGTTAAACACTTTTAAACACTATTGCAATTGTTTTGTTAAACTTTTAAATATTTAAACCCAACCCCTTCTATTGTAACTTCTAAATTCAAACTTTTCAAAATAAGGGTTTGTTTGGTTTTGTTTTTTTTTTTTTTGTTTTTTTTTTTTTTGGAGGGGGGGGGGGGGGGGGGCTTAGCTTGAAAACTTAGTAATGTGATTTCAACGAACAAAAAAATTATACATTTAAAAAATTTTGCGTACAAGTAGAGAAATGTTATATTCATCTGATATTGGGATAACAATACCAAACTTAGCATACATTTTATAACTGATTTTAAGATAAGGGTTAATACGGTGATTTTTAGTCATTTCATCGAAGAAAATAAATTCATTTCACATGTCTGTGTCCTGAGTGAATATACGAGTATATATTATCTGCCAAATAATTTTCAGAAGAAGTAAGAAATAATGAAAATAAAAGCACCATATTCCTGTTAAGTTACTATGCCAAATACACTGTTCAAAAAAAAAAAAAAAAAAAAAACTCGTAGTATTTACACTGAATAATAGAAAATAGGTTTCTATGGTTAAATTCGTTTTTTTTTTTCGTTGTTTTCTGATTCACATGGCTTTAGGTACCAGAAGTCTACTATGGCTGTAGGAACCGGGGGGGGGGGGTGCCCCCAATTATTTTGCGGTATACAGTATACGAAAGAAAGCAAAACTACTTTATGGATGTGCCCCTCAATAATTACAACTGATAATTTTTTTGGCTTTTCAAGAATTTTTGCTTAGTAGCGCCCACCCAAACTGAAAAATATATTTAGTTGTGCTCTCTCCCCAACTGAAATTGCTTCCTATGGGCCTGGTCTTTTTGATTTTTGATTGGCGTTTTGATTATTATTATTTTTTTATTTTTTTTTTGGAATGTGGACGCTACTTAAGAGACACCGAGTCTGAAAGAAGCACAACGCCATTGCATGCAATGGGCAATTTGAAGGTGATGTCCCACAGTTACAGTCTACAATTGCCAGAGGTTTTCATGTAGCTCAAATAATCACATCAGACACCAACAGCATGGTAAAATCGGACAGACCGCGCGTGACAGCAGCAGAACAGGAATGCTTCACTGGTTTGTGTCGTTTTCATCAACGTTCCGCAGCAACGTTGTCTACAGCAGTAGCCATCCCTGGGTTGTGCAGAATATCAGACCAGACCGTTTGCAATCGACTACCGGAAAGCTGGAATTTGAGCCAGAAGGCATATTCATGGTATTCATTGTGTTATTCTGACTCTGCAGTACCGCCAACATTAATTTCAAAGGTTTCAGTCCAACAGATATGGCCATAGCAACAATGGAGAATAGTTTGGTTTAGTGACGAGTCCAGATTTTCATTGCAAATCCTGATGGGAAGCTTCAGAGTGCATAGGATTCATAACGAATGTTTTGCAGAAAAATTTATCCGGGAGGCTGATAAATTGGGTGGTGGTAGTGTTATGATGTACGTGGGCAGTGGTATTCTCTACAAGCAGGACCGATTTGATTCATATTCAAGGGACTTTGACGGCAAAACGATACATTGACGAAGTCCTACCTCCGCGTGTCTTTCCAATAATGCAGCATCCTGAGGTCGTATTTCAACAAAACAATGCAAAGCCACATACGGCTCGTCTGACAAATGCATTGTTGCAAAGCCAAATCGCCAGATTTGAACCCCATGAGCATGAATGGGACGAACTGGGTAGGCATACAAGTATCCGCCAAAGACAATCGCTACCCCAGACTCGGCAACAGCTGGTCAAAGCTGTATATTTTGAGTGGGATAACTTTCCTAGACATTTTTGACACTCAATTGTGTGCATGAGAAAAACGTTGAGGCCTTTATTGGTGTCCTCGGGAGGAGGGGGAGGGGAGATACTGATCTTTTATGGCCTTGTACTGTCTGTGATGACATTTTGATTGTAAACGCATTGTTTACAACACTTGTTTGTTATCAATGCATCGTTCTTGTGTTTTAACATGTTACTAAATTTTCAATATGCGTTTCTTTTTTTCTTTTGATCGGTAAACGATAGTTTAAATTCAGTTGTGTTTGTAATGGCACAAACGTACCCAGTTTGGACCCGGTTTTAATATTTACAAAACTGGAGTCAATTGTCTGAACAGTAGCATTATATTATATTGTACAAAGGTTCTTTGAGATCACATATATTAAAACTCAATATCCACTAACATTTTATTGGTTTTCAATGACCAGTTGACGTGGACCTTGCCACATCCTTTATTCATAAGCAACCTACAGATGAACAGGCAAAGAGAGGGACAACAGATCTTTGGCCATCGCACTTCTGGTGCTCGATTAGTAGAGCTAAAATAACTTTTGCATATCTGTTACAAGTAAGTTTTTTTTTTACCTCGTTCAATGAATTTGGTTCAAAACTATGACATACCTTCACATCATTAATCAATTCTGAGCAAGATCTATGAGGTTCATTAGAATCTCGTCTTTAGTTTATGTGAAAGCACAATTCTGTTCTAATCGATTTTGAAAGTACTTAATATTAGTCATCTAACAAGATGTTTCCCCCCAAGACAAACTCCAAACGCAAGTTTATCCAGTTCACATTGGCATACCATATCCAACTTACACCATTTTGCATCGAGAACAATTATGTACTAGGGAAAATCATGATTTACCCCCCCCCCCCTTTTCTGGACAGAATGATCTTTTACACAAAATAAAGTTAAATCATAAGAATCTATCATTTTAATAAACATATATATTTTGATTCATATTTAAATTTCACATGTAGCTGCATCTCGAAAACAGAGACTTAAAAAATTCAGGTATTTGAGATACCCCTCTAGAACTCATATAAGATCATAATGATTTATACTGAAATCCTCTGCATGGTATCCAACATACCGATGTTCAAACTGGAAACTTTATACCCCCTCCCTCACACACCTCTGCAGTTTAAATTGGAAATGACCTTGCAACTATGATGTTATTACAACCCAAAGTTTACCAGTTTGGGAAATCAAAACGCAACTCTCTTTATTTCATATTTTTAACAAATTAAGTGGTCACCTTTTCTTCTGGGCACCTGTTACCTCTGACAAAGTACATGTATACACAGACTGGAGTACTTAGTATCATCTGTTTGTTATACATTGATTTTCTGTCCAGTGCAACACAAGATATGTAAATAGTGAGATGTTTTTATTATCCTCTTCTTATCAGTTTCAATACACTTGTCATACAGGCAACATAAATGTTCTAGACAATATGTCATTACTATAAATAAAGCATTATGTAGCTGCACATGATAAAATTATGTTAGTGAATGCAATTTACTGTAATAAATAAACCTCCACTATACTATGCATATTAAAACATTATATTTTCATGTATCCAAAACCACTAATATCCTATTAAATAATTTTTTTTCCATAACAATGGTATCTGCTTTCAATATATTACCTTGACAATTTGTTTTAAACAATATCAAATACAATATTTCCTTCATACACATTTCCTAAAATAAATGTTCAATTCATATTTACAATTTCAGATAAATAGTAAAATAAATATTCAAATCAATTAAAACCTCAACAAGTATATCCAAAGAAGGGAAAAATGCCAGAAACTGTAATTAATTTTAACACTGGAGCATATTGGTCCAATAAATCCAGCCCTGAAAAAAGTTGTCATTTCTCTCCGAGAATCTAAGCTACCTTTTATTCAGTGTGGACAGAAGTACAACTTGCTTTTGTATTATCAATATCTCTCATTTGTTAAGAAAACAGTCAGTAGATTATCCATCCTCGTGTCATATTTACTGTGCAAATAATTGTCCGAGTCATTTGCAGAAAGAGTGTCTTACTGTTAGGTTTGGGGAAATCCTCACTTTGGGGGAAATTTTCACAATTTTTTTTAGTGACCAAAAAATATTAATCTCAGATTAACTTTTCCCAATTTTTTCTTCCCTAACAAAAAAATTACCCTTGCAAAACATCTTGTAGACAAAAATTGCAAATGATACCATTGCAAATATTTCAAAATTTAAAGAAAACTTTATCTGACATACATCTTCCAGTTAACCCCATAACAATTTTTGAGCTTACTTATTTTCACTTACATATATGATACGAAAATGCTGCAGTTACGGAACTGCAATGCCCCCCCCCCCCCCCCCCCCCCAAATTGTGAAGTGAAAAGGCAAAATATCTTAATTCTGGTGCTTCATTAAAGCTAATTGATTGGAATCATAGAAATTAAAGGTATAAAAATCAAAACACTACTGAAGAATAAAATTACCGGTACATAAATTTCAAAGTGCAGAAATTACCCATTATACATTGCAATCAAACCTCAGTACCTTGGTTGATTGATAAAAAGCTTCAAAACATTTGTGAGGTCTAGATATTTAGGTTAAGAGTCAAATTCATAACAAAGGCCGGCTTTCTGTTGACCTCTGCATATACTGGTAATCCACAAATTGGTTTACAAGATACTTAAGGTCAACTGTATCTACATATACATATCTAACATTTTTACCTTAAAAAAAACACTGGTTTTAATTTAGAACCACTATATGTGTGTTAATAAAACATCCAACAACAATTACTGATCAAACTTTACACACACAATTTTTTTTTACAATAACTGATTAAACTTTACACACAAAAGATTCTTTTTATGCAATCATAACAAAACCTCTAAATTGAAATTCCGTAAGTTCACTAAAAACACTGTCTTATAATTAGTTATGGTTTCTGAACACGTCATTCCTGAGATGAGACTATTCCGGGATAAGTTCTGATTCAGTTGTCTGTAGAATAGTTTGACCATCAGTATCCATCGCCAGGAGGGCCTGCACAGTTTCCAGGGGAATTGGTTCCCCATCCCCACCTTGAAGCTGCACAGTGCTGCCATCTTCATTCTGTATAATGATGAACCCGTCAGGAGTTTGATAAATATTAGATGCTGTTATTATTTGATTGGTTTGAAATCCTGCCTCCTCCAGTGTGGATTCATCCACTAACTGAGTCAATTCTTCCTGATTCTGTAATCCATCATTCATGCTTGATTCCACTTCCGCCATAACGTGTGAAGTTTCGTCCACAACCTGCGCACTTCCATTTTCACTAACAACTTCCGCTGTCATCAAATTTTCTGATCCATCAGGTGTTGAACCAATGAAGTCTGTTGTTACAAAACTTTCTTCATCATTGTTGGTTATTTGAATGTCAGCACTGGTAGTTGGCAGTGTTGACACAGAATTGTCAGTGGTTTGCAAAGTCACAGATTCTGATGGGATGACAGTCAAATTTTCCACAATGCTGTTGTCTTGTATGACAACAGAAGGAGTGGAAGTAACATTATTTTTGGTGCTTTCACTGTCCTGATGAGGAGTTTCCGTTGAAGTTTTACTAATTGGTGCTTCACTGATGACAAGCCCCTCTGGGGACACAATCCTTACAATTTTGGTCTCTCCTGCTGGAGAGATTATAGGGGCTTTGTTCACTTTGTTCAGAAGGCTAACTCCTCCTGAGAAAATGGGCTGTGGCACATTCTGCACCACAACTGGTGATCCACTTGCAATGGTTGGTTGATTTCTACTTCGAGCAGGTACTGACTGCACAATAATAGGAGCGGACGGTTGGGACTGAGAAATAAGAAGTTTCTGAGAGTTTAGTGTAGAGGATAAGGCAGCAGTGCCTTGAGATTTGACTTTGGCCACTGCCTTGCTCATTGTGGAAGGAGAAATTGGATGGATGACTATGGGGGGTTGGGTGGAAGATCTTCCTAGGCTACTTATTGCAGCATCACTGGTGGAGATGGTTATCTTTTTATTGGTTATTGTGGTTGAACTTGGATTAACAATGGGGAAGGTGTTGCTGTTTGAAGAATTTTGCGATGATAATGACGACGATGATGAAGAGGAAGTAATTGCTGCAGACATTGTTGGTTTAAATTTCTTTGCAGGAGAAGAAATTTCTTCTTTTATCACTGTGCTAAGATTGCGTTTCACAGGAGTGTTCACCGAGTTGACTGTCATAGCAGCATTATCAGGGAATGTCACTGATTCCTGGATTGCAGGCATTTCTTTAATCTCATACACACCTACATCAAGACCTACAGCCCCTGCCAGTTTCTCATCCTCAAGCTACAATGGAAGGCAATAAAATTATTTTATATAGGCTCTTGATTGTATAAATTTAGGGGCAATGATCAGTGTAAAATACTGTTTTCCTATAAATATGGAGTTGTGATTTTTGCTACATTCAGTATAATACACATCTCTGTCAAAACGAGCTAATTCAGAGAATTTGTGTCCCCCACTCAGGGAAAAAAGAAGAGCATGTGCAGTTTGGGGGGGGGGGGGGGGTCACACTGCCCCCCCTGTATTTGTAGAATTATTAAATGTATACATGTTTATTGGAGCAAATTTTAAAAAAGCCAATATGGATATAAAGATTTGATTGCTTATTCTTTAATATGTGTATAGAAGATTCTTTTTAATATACTATATACAGAATATTTATCACACTGTAATAATGATTTTATGAGTTTGTACATGCCAGACATCATAACTTTTTCATTTCACATGTTGAATATTATCATTTAGTAAATCCCCCCCCCCCCCCAAAAAAGAGAATCGTCTGGGGTTTGAACCCGGGCCTCTCGCTTGCTAAGCAAGCAACATACCACTAGACCACAGAGGCACTTGCATATACATCAAATTAAATGCAAACATTAAGTCACATATAATGTTTATATTCACGTTTGATATTGTCAAAATTTTACACAATAAATGTTGTCTAATTTAGCCTTTACTAAACAGTTCTAATAGATATAATTAGAATATAAAGTCCCTGACAACCTGTATTATATGTAATAACTCTCGACATGCCCCTGTGCTAAAAATAGTGCCAAGCGACTTTTAATACAATAAATAAATAAAAAAACAGGGCCGGACACTTTGAGAGGGGCAAGAGAGGCCCTAGGGAGTTATGGTATAAAATTTCATTGCAAAAGCTCAAAAGCTTCTTGAGATATCACTTGGAAACGAAAGTGTTACACACAGACAGAATTTATGAATTTACGACCTTGAACTTTGACCTTAAAATAAATAGGGGTCTTCCTTAGGCCACAGGGAGTTGCTATGTAAAATTTCATTGCAAAAGCTCAAAGAATTCGCGAGATATCGCACGGAAACAAAAGTGTTAAGACAGACAGAATTTATGACCTTGAGAATTTATGAATTTATTACCTTGACCTTTGATTTTTTGACCTCAAAATAAATAGGGTTCTTCTTTAGGCCATAGGGAGTTGCTATGCAAAATTTCATTGCGAAAGCTCAAAGGGTTCTCGAGATATCGCGCCGAAACGAAAGTGTTACAGACAGAAATACGGATGGACAGACAGGCAGACGGACAGACAGACCCAAATTAATATCCCCCACTTTCATTGAAAGCGGGGAACAAAAAATACATATGCTATATTCTATTACATTCTCTTATTCAATTATCAATTTCTAACCTTTTCTTCTGATAATCATCTATTAAACCTAGAGCCAAAGAATACATTGATTATTATAAGGTAAATATACATTTTTTATATCTTTATAATACCGTAATTTTGAAACTCCAAGTCTATGACTAAATGTTGCCAAAAGCTCAAGTCCTAAAATCTAGAATAAGAGTCCTGTCAATTTTCAGGTTAGATACAGTGTCAACTTCCCCCCAAAACAGAAATTATTGTGTATTAATCACTTGATAATCCAGGCCAAGACAAACAATACTCATATTCCTCTGGATAAACATTAAACATTGACTCATACTATAATGACTTTCTGTTGTTAAGGAAAGGAAATTACAGGCTTGCCATAAATATTTTCTGGACAGCAAGTAGTAAAATTTGTGACAGCAACATGGTGGATAAAATGATGTTATATCATCTAAATTTAAAGAAACAGGCCTATGGGCTACATCGCTCACCTGAGCACATTGGCTAAAAAGAAGCACAAATCAGATCAGTATTGCAAAGTTTACATTGGGGGGAGGGGGGAAGTGGGCTTAAATTTTAAACTACCTGAAGATGCTTCCATATCAATATGATTAATTATGGCGTTGCTGTTCTTGAGAAGAAGATTTTTAAATTTTTTTCCTAAGTAAAACTTTGATCCCCATTGTGGCCCCACCCTACCCCCAGGGATCATCATTTGAATAAAATTGAATCTACACTATGCAACGAAGGTTTCCTATAAGTTTCAACTTTTTTGGCACAGTGGTTCTTGAGAAAAAGACTTTCAAAAAATGCCACCAAATTTTTACTATTTCTAAATTATCTCCCCTTGAATGAGGATGTGGCCCTTCATTTGAACAAACACCCAAGGATGCTTTGTGACAAGTTTGGTTGAAATTGACCCAGTGGTTCTGGAGAAGTCGAAAATGTGAAAAGTTTACAGACGGACGGACAGACAGACTACAGACAAAATGTGATCAGAAAAGCTCACTTGAGCTTTCAGCTCAGGTGAGCTAAAAATCATGCCAGAACTATTTTTGCTTTGTAAAAAAAATGATAAATTCATCATGTCCTTCCTGATTTGGCAATGATGTTATTACATTTTGAGAAGCACCCCTTTTCAGTGATGTAATTAATAAACAACAAGTGTGAAAGAGATTTGCATAGACAAGATAATTTTTCAATTGTAATTGATCTCGGTAGGTTTGTTAACTATTAATAGTCTTCAACAAAACAAAAGCCTGATTAGGTTGGTTACTGACTGTCCACAGAAATATGTCAGGTTGTTCAAGTCCATGGGAGGTAAAGGGAAGCCTTGCCGTCCATGGACTTGAACAACCTGAAATATTTCTGTGGACAATCAGTAACAAACCAAATTAGTCATGTTAACAAATAAACCCACCTTCAAAGTGTTCTGGCTCTTCTCTGTGCAAGGCTGTAGAAAAGTTTTACAGACCTCCTTCACTTCTTTGGCGAGTGTTTTGAACTCATTATAAATGATGTCAGCGTGAGGTCTTCTTGGTACACCTTTCTGTACCTTAAGGAGGAGGAAGTCCCAGAGGGTGAAAACTTTAGCAATACGAGGTAAAACTAGGTCAATCAGATCCTCATCAGAACAGCTGGATATCAACTAAAGGCAGAAAGCAGGAAAATTAATATCAATAATAAACATCGTCTTTAGATAAATTAATGTATATGTATTTGCCTCACCACATTAATTTCTTTATAATCAAAGCAAAGGCACAAAAAATTTACTGAAACAGGAGTGTCCATGTGCTACGATGTTCACTTGAGGAAAACAATTCTTTTTCAACTATCTGAATACACAATGAAATGCTTTATAATCTAGCTGCATGATTTTGTGCCATGAAAATAATGAATTGTCAACTCTGCACATTGGTTCTATTTTTAGATCGTAAATACAATCTAACACACTATCAGTCATAATGTGCACAGAAGCAGACCAGTTGTTCTATTGAATGAAGTAAAGAAAGTTAAAACAAGATGCATTTGTGAAACACTGATGCCCCCGTATGGCAGCTTATGGCGAAGGTTAAAGTTTCTTCAAATGCAAGTCAAAATCCAGGCCAAAAGATAAAAAATGTTGATACCCAAAGAAAGGTCTTGTCTCAAGGAATACACCTGTGAAATTTGAAAGACCTAGATACAACTGTTCAAAAGTTATGGCGAAGGTTAAAGCTTTTTAAATAAAAGTCAAGGTCAAGGTCAAAGTGGTTGGTATCCAAAGGAAGGTCTTGTCACAAGGATTACATATGTGAAGTATGAAAGCCCTAGCACCAACCATTCAAAAGTTATTGCCAAGGTTAAGGTTTTTCAAAAGTGGGTCAAACTCCTAGGTAAAGGTCAAAGGGTCAAAGTGGTTGGTATCCAAAGGAAGGCCTTGTCACAAGGATTACATATGTGAATTATGAAAGCCCTAGCATCAACCATTCAAAAGTTATGGCCAAGGTTAAAGTTTTTCAAAAGTAGGTCAAACTCCTAGGTCAAGGTCAAAAGATCAAAGTGGTGGTTGGTATCCAAAGGAAGGTCTTGTCGCAAGGATTACATATGTGAAGTATGAAAGCCCTAGCTCCAACCATTCAAAAGTTATGGCCAAGGTTAAAGTTTTTCAAAAGTAGGTCAAACTCCTAGGTCAAGGTCAAAGGGTCAAAGTGGTTGAAATCCAGAGGAAGGTCTTGTCACAAGGAATACACATGTGAAGTTTGAAACCCTAAGCACCAGCTGTTCAAAAGTTATGGCCAAGGTTAAAGTTTTTCAAAAGTAGGTCAAACTCCTAGGTCAAGGTCAAAGGGTCAAAATCTTTGGTATCCAAAGGAAGGTCTTGTCACAAGGATTACATATGTGAAGTATGAAAGCCCTAGCATCAACCATTCAAAAGTTATGGCCAAGGTTAATGTTTTTCAAAAGTAGGTCAAACTCCTAGGTCAAGGTCAAAAGGTCAAAGTGGTGGTTGGTATCCAAAGGAAGGTCTTGTCGCAAGGATTACATATGTGAAGTATGAGAGCCCTAGCTCCAACCATTCAAAAGTTATGGCCAAGGTTAAAGTTTTTCAAAAGTAGGTCAAACTCCAAGGTCAAGGTCAAAAGGTCAAAGTTGTTGGTATGCAAAGGAAGGCCTTGTCACAAAGAATACACATGCGAAGTTTGAAACCCCAAGCACCAACTGTTCAGAAGTTATGGCCAAGGTTAAAGTCTCATAAAATTTTGCAAAAGTGGGTCAAACTCCAAGGTCAAGGTCATAAGGTCAAATATGATGGTACCCAAAGAAAGGTCTTGTCACAAGGAATACACATGTGAAATATGAAAGTCATAGCTCCAACCAATCAAAAGTTATGGGCAAGGTTAAAGTTGACAACAGACAGACAGACAAACAGAAAAACAGACAAACGGACAAACAGACAAACAGATAAACAGACAAACAGACAGACAATATACCCCCGGGATCTTTCGATCCGGGGGCATAAAAATGAAAAATAGTCCAGAAGAAGAATGATCAAATACATGTACTTATTAGCTTCTTAGGAATTTAAGAAAATGAAAAATAGTCAGAAAGAAGAATGATCAAATACATGTACTTATTAGCTTCTTAGGAAAAAATTAAAATGATACAGGTTACGGCTAATATACAATCGTATATATCTGAGCTCCCACTAGAGCGAAAATATTTTTCGCCACTTTTCGCGATGAAAGGAACTGCGTTCTTCTATCTCGTCTCGACAAGTGTATGTGCTAAACACTCCACTAATAGCACTATTTCAATTTGTTTAATCACAGGCATTGTTTTAAAATCGTAAAATTTAAAGTTGTATCCAATTACAAAACTAATATAGGAATTATTTCTACATTTATACAATTAATTTGATACTGATATTAGCCAACTCTTGACAGTAGATGTCCTCTTGTTCATAATTTATTTTTAGCCTGGGGAGGTTACAGACTTAGTAAAGATATATGACATTTTTTTAAAAATTAAAAAATGATATTATAAGTGAAAATTTTAATCATATCAACAAATTATTGTGAAAAGAAGCAAGTAAAATCAGGTTTGAACCATGCTCTGCAATTTTCGTCATGTTTTCCTACTTTCGGTTTTAAAAAAAAAAAATCTATATAGATCCATATTTAATTGATTAAAATCTTTTATTAACTAACTTCATCTCCCCAAAACACTTTGTCTTTCCTTGTTTAATCCATCTTATATTATTTCAAGTAATTTTGTATCCCCTTACTGCTCTAGGCTAAGTTACGGTCAACTGTGTGCGTTCAAGCGAGACGTGATTTCCTACATGTACATTGTTTTGTAAGTTTCATGGAGTTTTCACACCCTGAATTCACACGTCTGCTTGCATTAAATAAACAAAGGGTCTAATCTGTATACATTAAATAAACAAAGGAGATAGCCAGGAGTACACACATTTTTGTATGGTATATCTAAAAAAAATTTCATTTTCGCCACTTTTGAATTTCATTTCGCCACTTTTGGAAAAAATTCGCAATTGGCGCAAATGGCGAATCACAGCTCAGAAATGTAATCTAACTATACCACCTAACTTTAAAATATTTTCTGATAATTCGATCCTTGTTAACTGCAATTTAACAGTGAAGTGCGAAATCTGACCAGTTGTTGACAACCTTATACCTGCTAAAATTGCTCATGCAAATTGCTTAGTATGTGGATATGATGCAATCGGCCAAATTATGAATTAGATTATACCGAATTAATTTTAAATAACACATGTCCTTCTATAAATTTATTGCTTCCACACATTTATTGAAATAATGCATCCTGAGAAAAATTCATGTGTAATTTATGCAGGACGCAGACCTACATGTAAATGAATCACTGAATTACCCTTACCTCTTTAAGTTTAGATCTGCGTCTGATGGCGGAGTTTGGCCCAGGAGGCCTTCCCCTGCTTCCTCCCCGCCTCTGGAAATATCCCCTGGTGGAAGGGGGCCGGGGTGGGGTGCTAGAGGTAGAGTCCTGTGTATTGCTATCCTCAGACATGTTGCCAGCATTAGAAAATCCATTATGAGATACACTCCCAAAATAGCCTGTTTGAATCAAAACAGTGTTGATCTATTAGTCTATATTAAGGCAAAAATTCCCTTCAGAGATTTCAATTTTACTACAAACTTAATATGACTGTTAAGCTTACCAAAAACTTATGAAGACTTTAAAGGTGCTTGGAAACAGACTTGAAGTTAATATTTTCTCAAATTTTCTGTATAATTTCATGACTTATATGTTGCCATAGCATTTCATACTAAAATACAATAACAAGAGGCCCATGGGCCACATCACTCACCTGAGCACATTGGCTAGGCAAAAGCACAAATCAGTTCAGTATTGAAAAGATTACCGGGGGGGGGGGGGGGGGGGGGGGGGGGGGGGCTGAATTTTAAACAACCTGATGATGCTTCCATGTCAATATAACAAATGGCTTTGATGTACTTGAGAAGATTTAAAAAAAAAATTCCCATATATTCCTTTGTCAAAATTTGATCCCCAATTGCGGCTCCTCCCTATCCAAGGGGTCATCATTTGAACGAACTTGAATCTACACTACCTGAGGATGCTTCCATATCAATATGACTAAACATAGCTTTTCTGTTCTTGAGAAGAAATATTTTTTCTATATGTTCTTATGTAAAACTTTTGATCCCCCATTGGGTCCCACCCTACCCCCCGGGGTCATGATTTGATCAAACTTGAATCTACACTATCTGAGGATGCTTCCATATAAATGACTCATCATGGCTTTGCTGTTCTTGAGAAGAAGATTTTTAAAGATTTTTCCTATATATTTCAATGAAAAACTTTGATCCTCCATTGTGGCCCGCCCTACCCCCAGGGGTCATGATTTGAACAAATTTGAATCTACACTATCTTAGGATGCTTCCATATAAATATGACTCATCATGGCTTTGCTGTTCTTGAGAAGAAGATTTTTAAAGGTTTTTCCTACATATTTCTATGTAAAACTTTGATCCTCCATTGTGGCCCCGCCCTACCCCCGGGGTCATGATTTGAACAAATTTGAATCTACACTATCTTAGGATGCTTCCATATAAATATGACTCATCATGGCTTTGCTGTTCTTGAGAAGAAGATTTTTAAAGGTTTTTCCTATATATTTCTATGTAAAACTTTGATCCTCCATTGTGGCCCCACCCTACTCCCAGGGGTCATGATTTGAACAAACTTGAATCTACACTACCTGAGGATGCTTCCATATAAATATGACTCATCATTGCTTTGCTGTTCTTGAGAAGAAGATTTTTAAAGGTTTTCCCTATATATTTCTATGTAAAACTTTGATCCTCCATTGTGGTCCGGCTCTACCCCTGGGAGTCATGATTTGAACAAATTTGAATCTACATTACCTGAGGATGCTTCCATATAAATATGACTCATCATGGCTTTGCTGTTCTTGAGAAGAAGATTTTTAAAGGTTTTCCCTATATATTTCTATGTAAAACTTTGATCCTCCATTGTGGTCCGGCTCTACCCCTGGGAGTCATGATTTGAACAAATTTGAATCTACATTACCTGAGGATGCTTCCATATAAATATGACTCATCATGGCTTTGCTTTCAGCTCAGGTGAGCTAAAAATCTTATTTTATCTGGAAAATATTGGAACTACGAATTCCGGGATGCGTTTGATTGACACATCCTTGCGCTTTCACATATTTTAATTTTATTCTTAATACTGAAGAAAAGTGGCAATTTTGTTGTGTATTAATGAAAAATATTAAAATTATAACCCAGTAAATTCAGAGTAGAAATGTTCGAAAGCAAAACCCACTCACAGTATTGTAAGTCCGTGCTCAGTGGTATGTGCAGAGTTTAACAATTGAACACACCCGATGAATCGTAAACATTAACAATAACAGAGCTCGTGCCCTGTTTACAAAAACAGTTTACGTTTCACAGGTGTGTTCAATTTGTTAAACTCTATACACATCACAGAGCACGTACTGACAATACTGGTGATTTGGTTTTGCTTTCGAACATTTCTACTCTGAATTTTCTGGATTTTAGATGTAATATTTTTCATTATTACATAACAAAATCACTTCTTTTCTTAAATATTAAGGATAAAGTTAAAATTTGTGTAAGTGCGAAGATGTGTTAATCAAACGCGTCCCGGAATTCGTAGTTCCAATAATTTCCAGATAAAATAAGTTTTTAATTATATTTTCATGTGAAATGCTATTGCAATATATAAGTCGTGATATTTTACAGAAATATTAAGTTCAAATCTGTGTCTAAGCACCTTTAAGAGTGATCAAAGGCAATACATATGTCATTTAGATACTAGAACATTTAATTACAAATATACAAAAAAAATGTTATTACTTCCTTGTGTTGTCATCTGCTGACCATCTGGGGCATGGTCAGGGTTCAGTCTATAATGCCGTTCTAGGCTTCCCTGTCCTATGTATGCTTTATTGCAAACAGAGCACTGAAACTTCTTCGGTTTTCCTGATGCAGGCAAACCTGTAGAAATCTTTTTGTCATTACCAATGGGAAATAAAAACCTGCAGGGCACATTTTTCATAGATTTTAAAAACTAACTTCATTCTAAATCTTAAATTTAATACTCATGTTTACCAAGTTACTGGCTGCAATGTAGGAAAGCAACTTTCAGTAGGGCCACAATATTTTTTTTCTGAATATTTAATTATGCTGGACTTCATGTCATGATTAGTACAGTTCGGGTCAGTTATTAATTTTCATTTTGATTATACAACTACACAATATAATATTCAAAAGTCTTAAGCTTGAATTAGGTTGTATGATTTGTGCTTGTTATTTCGGGAGCAGAAAAGTTTACCCATGTCAAGGCTGTTCTCGTCTTGGTCGTCTAGTATCACATGGTCATCCTCTTCTTCCTCCCCCTCACTGTATTTATAGTCAGAGTAACCTCCATCCGAGTCATCAGCTGCCTCTTCCTCCTCAAAGTCTAACACATGAATGTGTTTGTAGTCCTTCACCATGTGTTTTGGAGGTTTTGAAATCCTTCCTGATCGTGTACGCGGGCGATGTTTCTTTCGCTCTTCTTTTTCCTCTCGAGACAGATCTGGTCCATCAAGGCGATCTTCCTCATCCTCTATTGTTCTTTTCCTGTACGGCCTTCTCTGGCCGTCTTTCCCTAGAATCAGAGTTTGTGTTTGCTGCCCTTGTGAATGTTTCCTTGCTCCAACTGTCTTTAGACTGAGAGTAGAAGATTGAGCATTTTTATGGAGTTCTGAAGGGTAAATGACCCTGTAAACTATCCTCGTATTTGTCTGAGGATTAAACAGAATACTTGAACCTTCTTCAGATGATGTTTTTGTAACCTGTTGCTGTTGAACAACCTGCATTATTTGTTGCAGTTGCTCAGTGGACAGATTCTGCATGGGTGTGTACTGATTCCCTTGCTGAATGATGCGAATTGGATTTTGACTAGATCCTAGTGGAGCTCCACTAGCTTGATTTGATGGCATCAGTGTAACACTTATTCTACCTGAAGCAGAGTCAAGTTTCAAAACATTATTTTGAACAGTGCTTGACATGGAGTCACTGGAAACGTTTGTGTCCCCAGTTGTCAAGCCCTGATTTGGAAGAGTGACAGCTGTCATTGTTGCTGTAGCAAAATCAGCTTCATTTTTTACAATTGCATATTCAGTGTTGGAGTAGCTGTCCTCACTTTGGGCCACACTTTCACTGAAAGCATTCACAAGTTGATCGTTAATACTGTCGTTTGTTGTCCCATCAAATGCAGTGTTGGACGCATCATCTGTCACCAGCTGGTCCCTGTCACCATTTATCTCATCAGCTGTAACGAACGCCTCTGAAGTAACCACGCTAGCAATGAGTTCTTCCTCAACACGCGCCTCAGGATCCGTCCCACTAGCGTACCCCATGCCACTTTGGACGAATGTCCCCGTCGCTTCGTCCAAAGCTTGTTGGATTATATCCTCATCTGTTACCTCAACTCCGGTCACAACGGATCCGTCGATGTCCTGGGTGGATATAATGGTTCCATTTTCCAGGACATGCGTTCCATTCATATCAATAACATTGGCCACAGGGTCCGCCATATTTGTTTTGACTTCACTGGGTATTTTTATTTTTCGGGAAAAGTTCCACTATAACATTAATGTCGTGGTCTGTTGTTCTAGGGTGAAATACATATAACTTACATTTCACGAAAGTCAAAAAATTCTTTGGTGAAATATTCGCCTGTTTCCGTACTTCACGATGGCGCGAACGCATTCATTCATTTTCCTGTTTTTCTGCTCGTTAGGGGTCGCTGTGAACATGGACTTGCAAGTTACAGAAAAGCTTCGACAACCGCGATTTATTGAAATCCGACAACGCGTTTACAAATAAATTCATTTTAAATTTAAGACAGCAATATTATAAAGAATAATAAAAAAACAATAATTAATTGCATATATAGATACTGATAACATCAATGATGAAAACAAGGATATTGCTTTAGACGCATAACGTTATATAGGCCTAGATCTAGTTTTTGTTAGACGTTGAACTTTTGATCTTGACCACAGGCACTTGTTTTTGTAATGATTTTTTAACCCATAGTATAATAATATTATTATACTATGGGTTAAAGAAAATATTACAGAAACAAGTGCCTGTGATCGTATCCTTTATAGAAAAGTCAGTATAGAAAATTTTGATGTACTAAACCAGGGAAGGTATATATAAAATATTAACATATCATATGTCAAAAGAAAATTACAGTTTCTAGATCTCTTCATTGGATCACAGGTACTCGTGGACAGGACACCAACCCCCCCCCCCCCCAATATACACCCCGGGTCAAAAGATATTTTTTTTTTTAATAAATTATTCTTTTAGTACATATTTACAATGTATTCAATATGAAAAATCCAAAAAATAACGTAGAATTGACGTTTTATTAAAAAAAAACCCATACCGTGGTATTATAAAAATACCGCGGGTATATGATTTTTTAATAAAACGTTAATTCTACGTCAGTTATTTTTTGGATTTTTCATATGGAATACATTGTAAATGTGTACTAGAAGAATAATTTATGAAAAAAGACATAAAAAATATCTTTTGACCCTGGGTGTATATTCGGAAAGGGTGGGGGGTGTCCTGTCCACAAGTACCTGTGCATTAGATTGAAAATACTTGAATGAAAAATAAAGTATATCGGAAAACTTGTCACATAGATTTATTTTTGAAAACTATCAGGAGCAGATCCAGGATTCAAAGAGATGCAGAGACATAAATGACAAATTGGGGTGGGGGTGTTGAGGGATGGGTCATTTGAATAGGCAGGTCTGGGGCCGTCTTGAGGTGTGTTTGGGTACAGGACGAATTTTAAGCCCTTGTTCGGGGCATTGGGGTGAATCTTCCGGAAGCTCCTTGAATCTCGAGATTTTGTAGGGCAAGAATGAAGTCTACATGATTTATATTGAAATAGAAAGTGGAGGTGGGGTGCGCCCCCTTTAATTCGCTACTGTTTTTATATTCCCAGGAATTAAGAAGAAATGAATCAAAAATTCTACATGAGAAGAAGAAAATACTTGCTGTGGCCTTCAACTCGATATTCAGATATAGTCGACGACGTTTTATCATATTGGACTTTTGCGAGAAGCACTGACTTTTACACTCGACGGCTTACTTTGACATTTAAACAAGTGTCATGTACGGAGGTAAGGAGTTGATATTAGATTAGAAAACCTTACTAGTAGTCATAGGTATGGTGTTAGGGGCACTTACATGATTTACTTGTATGCAATCAACACAAGAGATGATGGGAGGTAGAATAACATAACTTAAAATACCTTGTTCGTGAGGGATAGTATTTCCTTTCAATCTCATTTTATGAAGGAATCAAATAAGGAAGAAAAAACAATCCGGAATGAAAACTTGCAGTAGTTGGTGGGGGTTAGTATAGGGTGTTTCTCCTTCCCCTCCCTAGACAACGTAATATTTGCTTTGAAATACCCAATTATTATCGTTTAATTAATTGTTAACCTAAATATTTATATCGCAAAAGAGCTGCCATATATTGTCCCAGTGTAAAAGTAAGCCGTCGATTGTAAAAGTCAGCGCTTCTCGCAAAAGTCCATTAACAATAGTAACGTTAACTTGTGGTGTCTTTTATTTCGAGTTCACTAGGATATCGAGTCATCGAGAATGAATGGAAGTAACAGAGTCTACCGCATCTGTTTCCGGATTGCTTCGTCTACCTGATAGGGCTCTCAGCTGGTGTGACCGGTGTAACGAAGAATTTTGACTGGGGTTGAAATCTCAACCAGGGGGTCATATTTCAACGTTGAATATTGAGACCAACGGTGTTGAATTTAGACCCTAGACCGTAGAAAATTGAGCCACATCGTTGAATTTTGATAATTAAACCGGGTCAAAAAACAAATGTAATTTAAGTGATTTGACGTTCATAATTATGTATTATTCATTTGGATTAATATTTAACTATAGGTCCGTAGGAATCAGGTTAGGGAAGGTGGGGGCACAGAGTGGCTGTTTCTACTAATAAACTTGTGGGCCATCATCATATACTATACATAGGAGACAAAGCTAGTTTACGGTTGTGTCCCTTTATGAAGAAAAACTTCTGATGACCCCCCCCCTTTTCTTGTCTTTTTGTTTGTCGATGAATTTTTGTCCCCCCCCCCCACAATAAAAAAAAAACCCCTTAATTTTCTTTCTACGGAGCTGTTCACTCAATTTATTTTTATTCTTTAGATTGACGTGTACACTGAAATTTGTTCAATTCGGAATGGAAAATTTGCACCAAACATGTTGCACTCTAAAAAGGAAGATCTCGAATTTTCTAAAGGCCGATCGCAAAAATACACATTATTTTATTTCTTTTCTAAACTGTGCAAAGAACCTTTTAAATATGCAATCACCTTTGTCCTAGTTTCACTCGATCTATATAAAGTGAACGTTTCGCCACGGGCAATGGTAGTATTTTTATATACCGATGGCCATCTACAAAACTAAACAAAAAGAGAAAACAACATCAGATTATCAGATTCGTGCTCAGTGATGACTTTAAAAATCGAGAGTGACTTTAATTTTACACAACAACTTTAGCCCTGGTACATTAAAGGGGCCTGGACACAGATTTGAAGTTAATATTTTCTAAAATTTTCTGTATAATATCATGACATATGATGCTACAGCATTATACACCGAAATATAATGAAAAACTTATTTCATCTGGAAATTATTGAAACTACGAATTTCGGGACGCGTTTGATTGACACATCCTTGCACTTTTACAAAGTAAACTTTATCCTTAATACTTAAGGAAAGTAGAAATTTTGCTGTGTATTAATGAAAAATATTAAAACTTTAATCCAGAAAATTCAGAGTAGAAATGTGAGAAAGCAAAACCAACTCACCAGTATTGTCAGTCCGTGCTCAGTGATGTGTGCAGAGTTTAACAAATTGAACACACCGTAACGTAAGCGTAAACATTAACGAGAAAAGTAGAAATTTTGTTGTGTATTAATGAAAAATATTAAAACTATAATCCAGAAAATTCAGAGTAGAAATGTGAGAAAGCAAAACCAACTCACCAGTATTGTCAGTCCGTGTTCAGTGATGTGTGCAGAGTTTAACAAATTGAACACACCGTAACGTAAGCGTAAACAACAGGGGTGCGTTTAACAGTGTAGATGCTACGTAGCATCTATTTAAAGCTACGCTCTTGAACGGAGAGCGAGCCTAGCCGCTACGTAGGGAGAGCTAGCATAAATATTTGATGCTAAGTACCAAATCCAAGATGGTCTCCTTAGTTACAACTTTGCAGCACATATGATTTTAAGTAAATGGGGAATTATTTTGTACATCTTGGCATATTTAATGTATATTTACATATATATTTTCGCTTGAAATAAACTTTTTTTTGCTCCAAAAATAAGTTTATACTGATATATTCATATTCGAAATTTAAGACTTAGCGGCTAGGTTAGCTGTCCGCTCAATAGAGATAGATATCTACAACCTAGCTGCTAGGTTAGCCACTACGATCTTGAACGCAGCTATGATGCGCCGTTTTGGTATTTACTGCCAAAAAGTGATATCACTTATTCGAATAGGTGATATCACCTATTCGAATAGGTGATATCACTTATTCGAATAGGTGATATCACCTATTCGAATAAGTGATATCACCTATTCAGCTTCTGAATAGGTGATATCACCTATTCAGCTTAATAGGTGATATCACCTATTCGAATAGGTGATATCACCTATTCGGATAAGTGATATCACCTATTTGAATAAATGATATCACCTATTTGATTTGAACTGGTGATATCACCTATTCGAGTAGGTGATATCAGTAATTCGAATAGGTGATATAATCCATTCAAATAGGTGATATCACTTATTCCTTTTGAATAGGTGATATCACTTATTCGAATAGGTAATATCACCTATTCAAGTTAAATAGGTGATATCAGCAATTCAAATAGGTGGTATCACCTATTCGAATAGATCACTTAATCATTTTTAATAGGTGATATCACTTATTCGAATAGGTGATATCACCTATTCAAATTATTTATGAAATAACTGCTCCCAAGACTATAGCCTTTAATTCTCATTTACTTTCACTTTCGTTTTATAACTTGCCGTTCTTGGAGACAATGGATTACAGTTCGCATTTAGTTTTAAGCACCCCAGTAGAATTTGTAGTTTGTTTTGCTCACAAATCATATTTTTTACATTTATCTATCATGTATACTATAGGAAAAATCGTGAAAAACGCATAATAAGTATTAACTGTTCCATACGGAAAATGCCCCACTTTACATAATAAAGAGAGAAAGGTATGCCACTCTGTTGTACCCCAGCTTGGTATAATTTATAAAATTTATATAACTTTACAGGGGTCGAAAACATAAGGTATTTAAAATTTCTCAATTACAGGGGGAAACGGGGCAGAACGAATTTGCTTGGTTCAAATGGAAATCTAGATAGACATGAGGAAGGGAGCATTCATTATTTATTGTTGTAAGAAATGCAAATAGGTGATATGACCTATTCGAATTGGTGATATCACCTATTCAAATTGAATAGGTGATATCATCTATTCGAATAGGTCATATCATTTATTCGAATAGGTGATATCACCTATTCAGCACGAATAGGTGATATGACCTATTCGAATAGGTGGTATCACCTATTCATTTCCATAGGTGATATCACCTATTCGAATAAAGATATCACCTATTCGAATAAGTGATATCACCTATTCGAATAGGTGATATCACCTATCTAATTTGAATGAGTGATATCACTTATTCGAATCGGTGATATCACCTATTTGTATAGGTGATATCGCTTATTCGAATAGGTGATATCACTAAATGGCAATAAATACCAAAACGGCGCCTCATACGCAGCCCACTTTACGTTTTCACCGGGTGTGTTCAATTTGTTAAACTCTGCACACATCACTGAGCACGGACTGATATCATAATAGAACCTGAAACGGGGAGACGATAAAGGGGTCCTGTAGATCATTCTAGTAGTTCATCTTTAATAACTTTTTTCATAGATGACCATGAAATAATTAAGATATTCCGTGTACTGAACAACAGTTAACTTACAAGTAGGTTATTGATTTTCTGATTTCAGTTCGATATAATTATTATTTTAGAAAAAATTCATATTTTGAAACTGGTAAATATGTAAGTAGATACATGTACATATAAATCATGTATAACTTCCAGATCAATCACAGGGCAAAACCCTGTAGTTGCATGTGGTCAATATTCAAAAGGGTCAATTTTCAACGAGTTGATGTCATAAGTGCCAAGGAAAAAAATACTAAGCTGTTGAAAAATGACCCAGGGTATGTTTTTTTTTTTTTTTTTTTTTTTTTTTTTTTTTTTTTTTTTTACTTTTGATGTCAATTTTCATCGCTGAAATGCCACCCTCAGTTCAATATTCAACGTTGAAAATTGAACCCCGGGTCAGTTTTCAACCTGGATTAAAATTCTTCATTACACCGGTCGACAGGGGATGCTAACTCCTCCTTGACATCGGATCCCACCTCAGGAATTTCCAGGGGTCCGTGTTTTATGCCCTGTTCACAGATATGTATCGTTTATAGTTTTTTTTTTTTTTTTTTTTGGATCGATCACTGTTCGTTATCTTCACCTATTTTATTCCCTATGAGTTTAAGGTCAAAACGTCAAAGGTGAAGAAAATCAGAAATCCATATATTGCAGAAATTAGATTTAAGATAATTACTTTACTTCTGCTGCTTTTAGATGAAACTTAAGATGATGAATTTCTCTAAATGAAGAAAGATATTATTGATTTTTATTGATTTTAAGGCCGATAGAAAGGTCAAGGTCAATCTTTCTCATCTGCATTTTTTTTTGCCTTCCAGCCTCTTATATTGTTAATGGTAATCTAACAACCAAGCTTTATGATAAACGTGATGACTTTAACTTTTCAATCGTCAACTTCCCTTACTTATGCAGCAATATACCGTTATCAACTAAATATGGGGTGTATATCTCTTAGTTGATTCGATACGCAAGAGCATGCTCTACGTATGAACAATTTCTAAAAAGAGATAAGTTATTGACAAACAAGATGATGAAACAAGAATATCAATAGTCTCGTTTAAAGTCTTCATTTCGCAAGTTCTATGGTCGATACAATGACCTTGTCAGCAAATACAATCTATCATTAAGTCATGCTGACTGACGTTTTTTATACTAATTGTTAGGCCATTATTTACACACTGTATTGTCGACGGATTTTTTCCGTTATTTACCGATCATGACAAGGAGCACAATGCGGGTGTGATCGGTCGGCAGGGGATGCTCACTCCTCCATGGCACCTGATCCCACCTCTGTTATTGGAGGTCCGTGTTTGCTCTGCTCCCATTTTGTATTGTTTTAATGGACTTTGAGCTTGAATACTGTTCGTTATTTCCATATTTCATTGTCCTTAGGAATAAGGGGGGGGGGCATAAATTCCCAGAATTAGCTTGTTAAAACTACATTCTCTTTACCTAAACCACGGCCAAAATGAACGTCTCCCATTCTAGGAGAGAGCTAGATGCGGACCGTGGCTTGAGACGATGTACCTAGACCCAAATAACGGTAATGAATTGACCATGCATAATCTAATATTAACTTGTCAAATTTGTCTTTGCTAACTGAGAATAAACTTGAATCTACACTATATATGCTGTATACATTATCAATTTTTCTTGCTCTCTTGCAAAAGTTCATAGATATATTATATACAATGTAATCCGTTTGTAAACCGGAAGTCTCTGATGAGACTGTATCTGTACTGGTTTTTACTAAACATATAGTACTTGGAATTTAAACCATGGCAACAGCAATAAATGAAATAATGATAATAAAGGCAGAAAAAGTAGTTTTTGAAATAATTTTACAGAAATTTCTTTTTTTCATAACCGTGGGAACGCCGTTCATCAAATCATAAAAGTGATTAACATAATAATGTATCTTTGTGTAATCTACTTGTATACCCAGTTTTAATGAAATTGGACCAAAACTGTAGGAGGAGTAGCGTTTTGAAAGAATTTCCCAGAAAATTCTATTGTTAGTAACCATGGCAACCCCTTTCATTGAAATAAAAAAAAAAAGATATAGAAAATTATGTATCATAATGTAGTCTAAATGTATAGTAAGTTATACTGAAATTGGATAATTTTTCAAAACTGTAGGGGGAGTAGCATTTTGAAAAATTATTACAGACGGACAGATGGACGACAGACACCTTACTATCGCATAAGTTCTTCTGGTCTCTGACCAGTAGAGCTAGAAATTAGACTTCTGACAGGGTTGGCCGGTGGTAACAATTACCAGTGGTAAATACCGGTATTTCCCGTCCCAGAAAATACACTTGTAGTACAGATTTCCTACAAACTGGGAATTTTTGGGAAATACACAGATATTTTCTTTTAATAATTTTATTAATTTTCTTTTTTGGTAAATAAAATATAGACAATACTATAAACATAAAACACAAGATGAACATGATGAATATGTCTCAAACTTGAATTAATTCAACATGTTCATAGTGTCAATTACTATTTATCAGCACCCCATATCCTCCTTACCTCAAAGCATATTCTGTAACTGAACACAATTTTGAGTAAATTTCCTTGGCTGTCTGTTAAACCATAGACTTCAAAGTTAAAAGCAAAGTCTATGGTTAAACAAACGTGAAATATTTAAATGAAGAGTTTCAGTTTCATCTTATTTGTATTGTCGCCCGCGTGGCGCAATGGTTAGAGCGTTCGCTTCGATCTCCTATGCAGAGTTGTCGTTCGTTCCTCTGTGAATGTATGAGCCGATGGTAGAGAGTGCGTTCGCTTTAGAATCGCGGAGTGATCCTTACGTCGCGGGTTCGAATCCCACTGTGGGACGTGGAGACCGGTCCTTCGGATGAGACCGTATAAACCGAGGTCCAGCAGTAGGTGCTGGCACGAAAAAGATCCCTCACTGCTCAATGGCCCTCAGTGCCGAGTATAGGTCAAAATTTGCAGCTCTCCACCGGCAAGTGGTGGCGTCTCCATACGAGTAAAAAATTCTCGAGAGGAACGTTAAACAATAAACAAACAAACAAAACTTATTTGTATTATTATTGATTAGTCCAAGAACAAAATAAACATTTTTTAGTCCATCTACATGTATTAACACTGTGGGTATTACAATCAAACGTTGATTCTTGACAGTTATGTGCTTTTGTTTTGAGAGTCACTGAACAGAGCTGAAGTTCGGATACATTTCTTTTCCACAGCTAAACACCTGAGGAGTTTCTTCTTCTGATAGTTACATAAAAATCTTTTAGGTTTCCGTTTTGCTGACCTGTATGCACCTGACTCAAGTAGGTTATTGAAACAAATGACAATGATCTGTGAGTAAGCTATACTGTGATGCTTGTGTGGCAAACCCCAGCCACATCAAAATATCCTGGGGAAAAAATGAAAAATGCATGGCATGGTAATACCTCTATATTACTTTACTAATTACAGCTTCCTCGTTCTCGGATTTCTGAATGTTTATAAATATACCAATGAAAAATTGTCATATTTTTGTTCCACCTAACCTGAAGGTTAAGACACCACAGACTCTAATCTTCCATGCATGGAAGGTTCCCAACTTCTCTAGATATTCTATGTAGAATTAAGGAAATCTATTGTGGCCCCATCCTAGCATGAGTTCTACAAATGTGAATCAAACTAAATGTATCCCTGCTTTCGTGAAGAAATCAATGAAATAAAATATTTTTTAATAAGTTAACCCATGGGTCCCATTCAATCACAAAGGGAATACTGGCCAGTATGCCATAAATCTCTGTCAGGGGGGTTTGGCATCTTACTGGTTTTTTTTTTCTGGAACAGTGGTTCATTCTTAAACAACCTTCCATTTAATCAAAAGGACATGGTTCTTACACTTTCTCTTCTTCTATGACCGATAAACGTTTTGCTACAATTTTTGTTGAAATATAGCCTCGATATTTTGGAGGAGGAGTTGAAAGTATGAAAAGTTAAAACAACAAAAACATATAAGAGGTATATATCAAAAAATTACCTGATTTGCTGGCTCAGGTGAGCTCAAATACAATGTACCAAACAGATTCTTTAAAGTCTGTTCTCAAGTACAAGCAGACTTAATAAACACTCAAAAAACAAACATTGTGGGTAGAAGTTTAATGATCAGTAAACAGTAAATTACTGACAAGCAAACTGATTCTAGCAGTCAGACAAGCAGATCTAGGCTTATATAAGCACAGTTTACACGTCCAAAGATACTCTTATGAGGTTCAGATTAAAAAAAAATTGATGTTAAACAAAACTTTTTAAAAATTCAATGTGATAAACATAAATACATTCCATTTTTTATCGATTAATGTTACAAAACTGATATTATAATTTTTTAAATGATATGCAAATGTACTGAAGCCACTGAAAAAATACGAGTATAATTAAGAGAGAGCAGTAAGACTGCAATTTGTTCTGTGGACTACACAAACATTGATCATATATTAAAATAAGAATCTGAATTAAATACAGCTGGGACAATATAAACATCCCTAACAGAATCCTGCCACTAGAGGGCACATGTTAACATTGCTACGCAGTCCAAGCCTTCTATTTACATATATCTACATACATGGGCTTTCTCTCATTCACCCTGGCAGTGCTTTCAGTTTTCTCTTTTCTAAGTGTTTCTAACATCCCCCTTCCCGTAATATTCATCCTTTTATAGATGTATGTAAATATTTATCACCTTTTCCTTAATATAATTAGGAATATGTTTCAAGACTTAAAAGAAATAAAAAAAAATTCCTTAACCTCTTTTAAATAATTGGCAATATGTTCTGTTCCACAAGTAAAATAAATGAGCATACAAGTCAACGCTACCACCTACAGCCCTGTCAGACCCGATTATACAAATGAATGGTAATGTTCTTCAATCTCCAATTTTGATAGAGGTAAACTTTCGGGAAGACCTTTATAAATGGCAGGACTGTACAAGATACAGCCTGGTGTGATTTACTTTTTCTTTTTTATTGGACACTGCAGCATAGAATCACATTCTAACCCCGCCTGCCTTCGAACATGCGTAGGATTGTGTTATGTAAAAAACGGGTTAAAACTATCAACTTAGCAAAGTACATACATGTTCAACTTGAAATTGAATCTAATTTATATACATTTGTATAAAAGGTTTCACTGTCTTTTGCATAAGAAATAACATATTTAAGTATCTAAAAATGAAAAAAAGAAAATCAATTCAATCCTAGTTCATCAATGTATCATACAATGCATAAAATAGTCAACATGGAAAGTTAACTCATACATCTATCACTCTTGACTTCTATGCTGCAAGACCAGTCACACAAGGTGGTTGATAAGGAGTTCAAAGGTCACTTTCACCATACAGAGCAGTAGAGAATGACATGTAGTCTAGAGCACCAGGGACAGCATCGCGTCCTGAATATGGCGCCATTCTCTGAATACAGTATTCTGCCTGATCGGGAGGCAATTCTTGTCGAAGAATCTGTGCTGTGATGAATGGCTGAAAGACAAAACATTGCTGATGAATTTACACAGCAAATATTTTCTATTAATATTTCAATTCCTACCTGAAAGGTCCTCCAAATCAAACTGTTTTCTAATTAGTAATACTTGTTCTTTATGTATCAATAGTGTTTATATATCCATAAGAACAAACTGTAAAGAAGATGGGCGAACATTCTGAGCAAAGTGTCTATGGTATGACAAATAAGATGTTGAAAAATTAAATCTCAATTATAGCAAAATTTTCTTTGATATCTCATCTATTATTAACTTACACTTTATGTAAAATCCTAATTAATTGCTAAAATCTATGTATATTGAAATTATTTTAAATGAAATAGCATACACACACCAAAGAGGACAAAAAGAATTGTTTCCTTATACTATAACACAATTTTCCCATAAGAGTGGGTCTTTGCCTCATTTTATTTTTGAAAGTTCACCCTCAAAGTATGCATAAAATAACATTTTTGGTTAACAAAGACAGCAAAGACCCAATTTTCCTTTAAAAAAAACTTTTATGACACAACATTTGTATCTTTCCGATAAATATTTCAAGTCCATTTAATAAAGGGTCATATCATAAACATGACTTAAATACATGTACCGCTATTTATCATGTGATAAGCAAGATACTCTCAAAGAAAAAAACCCACAATATTCAGGATTTTTTTGCTTGGGTTCAAACCTCAAAAATACCACTTTTTTTTTTTGCCAAGAGAATTTTCCTCAGAAAATTTTTTGGTCAGACTTTCATACTTTTCAATAATATTAACTTTACTCTAAATACTAAAATCACAAAATGAATATGATTATTGTTTGCCCATCTCCTCTGAAAATGTTTAAGGTTAATTTTCTGAAATGAAAAACATAGAGAATTGCCCTTTAGGCCATAATAAAAAAAAATCCTAAATTCTCATCCGAATTTTTTGAAAAATTGAGGCGGGCGGGCGGATTTTATTTTATATTTTTTCCATTGTGCAGATTTTGTGTTGACCTGATCATTCTGTGCAGATTTATCTATAATGCCCATATAAAAGTCAAAGTAGAGGTCCATTTAAATATGCATTATCTCTTACTACTCATCATCACCAGTCTTTCACAACCAGTGATCCTTGCTTAATAAATATAACAGCAATAACCATCTTGTCAGCTGTCAAATTCATGCTTACATTTGCGGGATTTAAAATGGAAGTTGAATGGTAGTTGAATACCTATCCCGATCAGAATCAAGACGAAGAAAAACAGAAATTAAAAAAAATCGGGGCAGGCGGGGATGAGAATCTAGGAATTTTTTTATTATGGCCTTATGAATAGAAAATTTTTCTTTGCTTTCCAAATCTGAATACTTACCTTGTCTCCGGCCAGAATTTTGAAGGATTGCATGACTTGCTCAGCTGTATCAGTGTCAGCTGTCTCACGAGTCATGAAGTCAAGGAAGGCTTCAAAGGTCACATAACCCGAGTTATTGGGGTCCACAATGGACATGATACGTTGGAAATCAGCATCTCCCTAAAAGTACAGAATTATTGTTAAAAACCAACAATTGCATATACATGTAATTTGTTAGGGTAGTATCATTTTTTTTTAAATGCATGTGTCTGTTTTAAAAGACCCCCCCCTCCCCCCCCCCCCCAAAAAAAAATGGATGGGGGTAGAAAAACAAGAGGCCCATGGGCCACAATGCTCACCTGAGTCAATATGGCCCTGCTGTTCTTCGTCAGCAGATTTCTTCTCCTATATACATGTATTCATATGTAAAGTTTTGATCGCCTGTTCTTGGTATACCCTACTTCCAGATGCCATGTTTTGAATGAAATTGAATCTTAACTTTCTGAGAATGCTTCTACATTCATAAAGCTAATCATGGCTTTGCTGTTCTTGAAAACGGAATTTTAAAGATGTCTGCCACCCTACCCTGGGGGGGGGGGGGGGTTCATGATTTGAACAAACTTGAATCTACACTATCTGAGGATGCTTCCATATCAATATGACTATCGGTAATCATGGCTTTATTGTTCTTGAGAAGAAATTTTTTAAAGATATTTAATATAAATGTTCTTTTGTATAACTTTGACCCCCCATTATAGCCCCACCCTACTACTGGAGGATGCCTTGAACAAACTTGAATCTACAATACCTGGGGATGCTTCCATATCAATATGACTAATCATGGCTTTCCTGTTCTTGAAAAGATTTATAAAGATTTTTCCCATATATTCCCATGTAAAACTTTGATCCCCCATTGTGGCCCCACAGTACCCCTGGGGGGTCATGATTTGAGCAAACTTGAATCTACACTACCTGAAGATGATTCCATATCAATATGACTAATTGTAGCTTTGTTGTTCTTGAGAAGAAGATTTTTTAAGATTTTTTTTCTATATATTCCTATGTAAAACTTTGATCCCCCATTGTGGCCCCACCCTACCCCCGGGGGTTATGATTTGAACAAACTTGAATCTAAACTACCTGAGGATGATTCCATATCAAAATGACTAATTGTGGCTTTGTTGTTCTTAAGAAAAAAGATTTTAAAAAAAAAAATTTCTATATATTCCTATGTAAAACTTTGATCCCCCATTGTGGTCCCATCCTACCCCTGAAGGTCATGATTTGAACAAATTTGAATCTACACTATGTAATGAAGGTTTCACATAAGTTTCAACTTTTCTGGCCCAATGGTTCTTGAGAAGAAGATTTTTAAAAGATGACACCAAATTTTCACCAATTCTTTATTATCTCCCCTTGGAAGAGGGTGTGGCCCTTCATTTGAATAAACTTGAACCCCCTTCACCCAAGGATGCTTTGTGGCAAGTTTGGTTGAAATTGGCCCAGTAGCTCTGGAGAAGAAGTTGAAAATGTGAAAAGTTTATAGACGGACAGACGGACTACAGACAAAATGTGATCAGAAAAGCTCATTTGAGCTTTCAGCTCAGGTGAGCTAAAAAAAACAGACAATATTAAAAATTGTTTTTTTTCCTTCTCTGCACCTTACAATACATAAAACAAAATATAATACCCTAACAAGAACAACAACATCTTTCACTATTGTAGACATTTTCATCCAAATATATTGTTAATGATTTTCTTAATTCATTTTAATTTTAGAGTGTACATATAACTATGTTGTTTTCATATACAATGTAGTTGTCCAATTATTTTGCTCAGAGATACAGGCTTTTATGCTAAAGTGAGAGGCCTCTTTTTTTCTCAGTAAATAATTTTTTAAGAAGATATTATTGGAAATATTTTCCTTATTTTTTTGTTGGCAGTACATGCAATGAAAAAAAAGATACAAAAAGTACCCCAAAGGAAATCAAACAAACTGAAGTAAACTGATGAATTTTTTTTAATAACTGCAATGGAGACTTGATAACTTTACGATTCAACAGCAAAAGTTAAATATGGCACCTAAGAAAATTTCTATTATTTTGTATGTAAGAAATATCAATATCTTGCTAGTCTAACCTGTCTGTCTTCACGAATATTATATCCTAAGCTGACAAGGCAGGCCTTAAATTCCTTAGGTTCGAGACGACGTGTTCTGTTCCTATCGAAATGGTTGAAAGAAACACGGAACTCATTCATTTGGTCTTCACTGATACCCTTAGAATCCCTAGTTAAGATCTGAAAAAGAAAGTGCATCAATCAATTTGAGATTTTTTTTGGTTACTCTAAGCATTTTTATGTTTAATATGGATATAAACATGCTATATTGTTGCTTCTTCAACTCTCACCTGGTTCTCCACTTCATTGATATTCCTAGCAATTGCTGTCAGAAGTTGTTCCCATCCAACTCGCAATGTCTGAAATGAAAACAACCCATTAATACTGAAAGTCATAACATACTTATTTAAGTATTTGCAATAAAAACATTTCCTGATGTAGATCAATTAAATGAAATGCTTACCTCCATAGTGTATTGTGTGTAGTGGTTTTCAAAGATCATAGCCTCCTGAATTTCCTGCAAGGCACAATATGAAGGAATTCATAGCACCATACAAATGTAAATGTATCTCTGTTCATTTATTCTTTGCTTATCAATAGCTTGCTTAAAATATGTTTAGTATTGTTTTTGTAAGATACTATTGAACATGAGTATTCAAAGAAAAAATTAATTGAATCCAATAAATTTCACAACTTTGCTTATTATTGTCATAGTAAGCTTACTTCAAATGCCTAAAAAATCTTCCAAGGATCATCATTTCACCACTTTCACACTTTCCTACCTGATTATATCTTTCCAGCTCATCAATGTTAGGCCTATACTGAGTTGTAGCCTGTTCATACTGCCTAAGCTTCTTAAGCTGTTCTTCAAGCGAGCTCTTGGTTTGAATTCCCATGGAGGCCACAGCGTCCAGTTGGTTTTCTATCCATGGACCAACCACATTAGCCTTAGCTGCGAACTGTTTCCTCAGCCTCATGTTGTTCTGTTGCTTCATCATCTCATTCTGCAATGTTCCATCTCGTTTTGGCACTAGTTGTTTCACATCAGCCCACTTGTTGGCTATGTCCTACAAGTATCAATATTTTTATATTCTCATTCTTCCCACACTTAAATAATCTGAAAACAGCAGAATGATAATAATAAACAATTTCTGTTAAAGCATGTAACAGAGGTGTATAAAATGTTTTAAGAAATGTAAGGTGCAAAATTATTACACATACATGTATTGAAAGTTTTAAACATGTTTTTTCTTTAGCTAAAAGCTAATCATAAATCCTTTTTTAATATCAAGAGTCTTTTTATATCATCAATATATATTGTGTCTTTAATTTAACTACAAAAAACAGAAGGAAAAAAACAACAGAAAAAACAAAACAAAAACAAAACCAAAAAAAAGATCATCAAATGGTTACTGTAAATCCTACCTACATAAGAAGTATTTTTTTCTGAGTAATACATGTATATCCACAATAAACAAACATCACAAAAACTGACACCACACCACATTCAGATTTTCTTATATAACTTGTTTTAAAAATACATAATTTTATAAAATCAAATTGTCTATTGAACCCTCATACTTTATATAAGTAGGAAAAAGTTAGACGTAATCTACTCTATTCTTTCTGTAGTAAAATGAGTAAAGTTAAGTGTGTTATAGTCTCTATGTTTCCACTACTCTTTCCATAATTCCCTACAATGACCTTGCTATTACTCATGATGCATTGAAAGTTTTAAATATATATATATATATATATATATATATATATATATATATATATATATATATATATATATATATATATATATATATATATATACACATGAAAATGCTTTGATTTGTAACGGATTAAGAAAAAGATATTTAGTGACTGAAATAAGTACATGTAAAATAAAAAACAAGGAAATGAGGAAACAAAAATTTAATTACTGCAGACCTACTTTTTTCCATGTAGGACATATTTACCCTTACTCTGCCATTACAAAAATCTGTGGAATTTCATCCACGTAGACTAAAAGTTTATTTATAGAGTTACATGTAGTTGCATTAGGTGTTCATTGCTAATTTGCATATATGTGGAGTTCATAATTGTATAGATATATTTAATTGACTAAGTTATTTATTTAATGCAACTTAAATATAAATAAACATAATCAATGTATTTTTTTCTTAAATGAATAACAATTGCCATAAAACTGCACAACATAACGAAGTCCCAGGATCAAGTCTTGTGACTTATGCCAATTAGCGATCAAATTCCCAATTTTGTTTATACAGTTGATGCCTACCCATTGTCACCATCTTGTAATTGCACTGTAAAAACACAGTGGGTAGTTTAAAAGATAATACTGATTTTTGATGACATGAAATTGTTTAAAAACAGCGTGCACAATAAAATGTTTAATTGACAAGCAAGTTAAATATTGTAAAACTGTAAAATCTTGTGTGCATTCTAATAGGCACAATCTGTTCATTTGTACACTGTTTATTCCCTTATTTAACAGCCCAAAAATGTAATAATTACTGCTTATGGTGAATCTTATTTACAGTAGTAGTACTTGTAGAAGAATGCATTTAATGATTAGATAAAAGGTTGTAAAATATTTAAATGAAGGCAAAATAACAGTATTGCGTTTTACATTTTAGATCTACACAATTTGCAGAATTTCATACTCCTGATCTAAACAGAAAATGCAATTCTGTCGAAATATGACCCAGTGGAAATAAATATGTCTACAGTAAAAGACCATTGTATAAAGAATACACATGTAAATGGTAAAATTCAATATTGGAAAATTTCTGAAATCAAGTCTGAAGATGTGAAAAAAGCTGCCCTTGTACCCAACTTTTAACCACAATTAGAGCATAAGGAAAGAGTAAAAGACATGGAATGAAAAATTGCAGGCATTAGTACACCAATTAACAATACATAAATAAGCCAGCTCCTGTTAATATAAAATTACTAACCTCCTGTTGATACAATCAGCATCCATAACGGAGAGGGAAAAAAAATAAAACACAAGCATAAAAACAGCAGCCTATATATCAGACTTTTTAAAAATTAAAACACAAATCATGCATTTAATGCTACAGCAATAATTGCAACCCATACCAAAACTGACAATTATTTTTTTGCAATGTGAAATTTTGATATTATTAAATTAATGATTAATGAATTCCTTCAAAATTGCTTTCCAATTAACCAGTTCCTAATTTTCTATTGTTCACAATTGCTGTTGGATCAGTCATGAGTGTGCATAAAAAAGCTTCTGAAATAGAAGTATAACTGCACACCATGCTTTGATAGACACAAGCTCCAAGCTCTTATCCTCCCAAAGTAAAGCACATGATACATCTGACACTGTTCTAGTAAAACTTGATCTCTACATTTCATTAAATATAAATAACTTAGTTGTGGGAAAACAACTCTATGCAACTCTGCCATGCAGTTATATTGCTCTAATAAGAACACCTGTACATACCTGAGGATCGACAGTAGTGTAGGGGTTCTCGGTCAGTTGTAACCCAACTTGATTAGCAAGCCTCTGGACTTCTGAGGCTAAGGCCATAATAGCATTAAATTCCTTATCTGCCTCTGGCAGGGTCTGCTTAAATGTTTCATGGGCTTCTAAAAGTTGCTGCAATGAAGGTAATTTTTTAATAATTTTTTTTTGCTGTTTTTTTTTTTTTTTTGGTAATTGTTTAACTTCAGTATCTTGAAGATTGATATCTCAAATACCATGGAAATTTTGAAGGGATTTTAAACTCCCAAGCACTTTTTCTTTAAGTACAGTATTTTTCCCTCAATATCTGGAATTATCAGATAACTTGGAAGTTTTTTCTCAGTCAAATCAAGATCGAAATAACAATGTTTGACTGTATTTACATGTACATGCATAAATAGAATTTTTCTCGATTACTTTTTTACTTTACAGAATTAAACTCTCTAAAAGAATAACACTGACTTGAAATTACTTCCAGACTTAAATATTCAAACTGTACTAGTACTTAATACATACATATATATATTTACCTGAATTTCTTCTACAGTGTGAACAATAAATATATCTAATAAATCTTCTTTTGCACCATCTAACCAGTTGTTGAAAGGCTGAAAACAAAAATTTTACATTATAATGCATACATACATACAGTACTGTTAAACACCAAATAAATTCAAATAGTGATTAATTAAATGCCAATGTACTCACAGCTGCCCGTTTTGCAAAGTCAAGATGAAGAGTATCTATTTTTTCTAATATTTTTTCTGCTTCCTATAAATGCAATGAATTAATCATAATGTCAAGAAGTCTTCAAACAAATTCATCCTCAAGAGGTCTTCAACAACCAGATCAAAGTAAAAGTTCTGACCAAATTTATAAATATGAAAGCATTACTTACATCAAGACCTTGACGTCTCTGGGCAGTTAAAGTTCCTAATTTATCCCACTGGTCACAGATTTTCTATATCAAAAATAGAATTTAAAAAAAATTAACTCTAAAAGAGAACAATGCTTTAATGAAGTTGAAATTAATATTTCATAAAATAAATTCAAAATCTACCTGGCATCTTGTATTGACTGTGAGAACATCATGGTATTCTAAAAGACTGTTTAAAAAAAAATTTAAAGAAGTTGTAATGTGATACTTCTTGCAGCTGAAATTTTTTTTATCATTCAAGAATGGAATTCAAATTCTTCTGTTATCACTTTCTGCAAATTATATTCTAATGAATATACTATTAAAATAATGTGAATTATTTTATGGAAATTTCAATGTTCCTCAGTTATAGTTCACAAAAAAGTTGACATACTTAAGCTCCTGTGCTATTGCTGCAATTTGTTCAACTCTGTCTTGGTGAGCTGCTAAATCACTCTCAAAAGCCTCATGTTTCTTCTTCATAGCCTATGGTAAATTTTTAAACCTCTATCAAATAAACATAATATTCTTGCTTTTGCCAATTCATAGCAATAGCAGGTAAAACTTTTACAAATATCTACATTTTACCATAAGTAACAAATTAATAATGATGATAAAACTTTAAAATAAATCCATATTGTCAATCTAATACGCAAGATATATCATCAAAAGTCTTTTTACTTTCAATTGATTAAGCCCACATCGCAAATAATCCTGGCTTTGAAGCATTTCTTCTTTGCCCTCAGCCCATTCTTCATGAATTTGACAGCGGTGCCTAAACTTCTGAGCCAAATGATCAAGACGTTCAAGTCTGCAAGTGAATAGGTTTAATAATTAATTATTTTCCCTCAAGCATTTTTTCAGATTTTGATACTCCAATATTCTGTAGAATTTTAAAACAAAATTGAAAATTTGCTTTAGTAGAATGGTTACCTTTGCAGTTCTGAAAGTAACCATTCTTCGAAACCTTTCTCAGCAAATTCCAGTCCTTTCCAAGCGTTAGCTATGTCCTGTATGACAAATAGCACAATCATTTAATGACACTTCAAATTTGTCTTCAACCAATAATAAATTTATAATTTCTCATTTGTACCTTATACAGTCTACTCCAGATGTATTGAAATTCATAGGACCAACAATTTTTTTTCAATCCAACCAAAGATTAAAATAAACAAAATTGGCCTACAAAGACATTTTAAAATCCTGATCCTGATCTAAAACACGTAGACAAACCCAAACCTTTTACACAATGCATCAATACATATTTAAGATACTTGAACAGAGAAATGAAATAGTTTGTTCATTTAAGATTTATATGAAAAAAAAAGCAACTTTTTTAACCTCTTATTATACCTCTTACATCTTATTATAGTCTACTTGTGTACCAAGTCTTATTGATGTTGGACCAAAACTGTAGGAGAAGTGTGTTTTGAATTTCATTTAACATGTTTAATTTTTAGAAACTTCTGCCTCGAAAAACTATTTTCAATGCTGTCATTTACTTCTTTGGTAAATGGTAATGGTCTCTTCTCTCAGTGCAACATCTAACACATTGTCTTATGTCTCTTTTGTACACACCCTTATGATATTGTTTGAAATATATACTTCTTTTATGTTTTCTCATCTCTACAGTAGTGAAGATGTTCTATGTTTGTTGTCTTGTTTTACCATGTGCTCATTTTCAGTACATTCTCAGTCTTAGACTGGTACCCTGACATTGTTGACAGCTATGGATAAAAAGTCAGGTGTCCTGAAGCCATGATTTAAGTACATCACTATAAAGCTTTTTATCAATGTTTATAAAAATTTAAAGTTACAAACATTTGCCCGAAATCAACCCCCCTTTAAATATGGTACTATAAACATGATAAAAACATTTTTTCCCTGTGGTCATAATTACAACTTCTGTTCAATCTGCTGGTTTCTTAGATTGCCACTAATGCCTTAAATGTACCTAATTACGCTGGGACAAATTTCGGCAGAAATTTTGTGACTGCATACATGATGTAATTTAATACCATGTGGACTAAAGTACTTCTACAGTAACTGTAGAAGAAAATAAAATTTTTTTTAAAATCAGCTTTTGCAATAAAATATTCCAATTGCAGTGTTTTTTCTTGCTTGGTCAGGGAAGGGTAAACAAACAATTTTGATTTAGGCCTGAGAAACAGAGACTGGGGATTTAGTTTTATTTCAAAATAAGAGATTTCAATATAAGTGGAGTAGGCTGTATATGTGCATATACATACATGTTAATTAAGCAGTCCATTCTTGACAGTAGATAACTTGGTAATAAGTGCAACCAATCAATACAGTTTTTAAGTCAGATACACATTTAATCTAAGATCACTTACAGAAACCATTTTGCCCTCAGTGGGAAGGTATGCTGGTCTGTTACTGAGTCGAAGCCTTGTCTGCAGGGTGTTAAAGCTGTTCTCAAGTCTTGCTTTATCTTCCAGCTTAGGAGGTTTGTGTTTACGTCTGTAGTCCCGGAATTCCTCAAGTTTTCTTTGGGTACCAGGTAAAGTGTTGTCAGTTGTCCTGTTTTCTAACCAAGGTGTTGTTTTCCTAATCCATTCCAAAAGCTGCAAAGTGCAAATCCAAAATACATGTTTATGAAATTTCAAACAAGTAGAATTAGGGCTATTCCAGTAAAAAATAAAATAATAAACCCTAACCAAGGACTCCAGAAAATTTCAGACAGTACAACCCATAGAACTTTTTTTTTTTTAACAACAAATTGAACAAATTTGAATCTGCACTACCTGTGGATGCTCTCATTAATATGACTAATCATGGTCTTTATATTCTTTAGAAGAAAAATTTTCCAATACATTTTCATGTAAAATTTTGATCCTATACCCTGGTACCATGATTTAGAGACTACGACAAGAAACTTTCATATAAGTTTCATTTTTCCTGGCTTAGTGGTTCTTGATAAGATTCTCTAAAGATACAGTTTTCACAAATTCTTAATTACATATATCTACTCTTAAAAAAGGCATGGTTCTTCTGAGATTTGAAAAACTTACTTTTCGTCATAAAAGCTTACTTGAGTTTTAGCTTTGGTAAGATAAGAAATTACGCTTGAGATTCCATGTTCTCTTTATTGTCTGTTCAAATTTGCTATGAATTTGTGAATACTACCGATGTTTCTTAGAAACCTGCATATGTTTTTTAACAGGGAAAATAAAACCACCTATAGTCACGTTTAATGACCCAAACAGGCAGGGTCAGAAGAAATTTCTAATAGTTGTGCCAAGGATGAATGTTAATCATCCCCTTGAAAAATCCACCATAGAATTGAATTTTTTTATACACATCCCCGTGGATGAGAAATTTTTTGTCATCAGGAGTGGGCAGAATTTTTACTGGAATAGCCTTAGAATTATCTATATCCAGAAATTTGTTATTGAACAATTGAAACCCTCTTCATCTAAGCTTTATCCTGATAATGCTACAATACTTAACACAATATCAATATAAATTCTTACATCACTAGCTAGTCTTTCATATTCTTCCATAAGGCGTTCGTTTTCTTGGTTGACCTTCAACACTTTGCAAATTCTGTTTGCTGCTGTCTCAGCCTAGAAATGATATTGTCCAAATTAGAGAGTTGTATTAGTCAAATCAGTGATCATGATCTTTATGATCAACATTTATAGCAACGTACTAATTTTTGTTCTTTATTATTCATGTATGCTATTGCTATATATTAAATCACCTATATGTTGTAAGTCTCTATATACTATTGTAAAATGGTGAAGAGATTCAAATAAATGATTGATACTTCAGATAGGTTAATATTATGCCAGTAAATTACATGTACCTGCTGAGCCCCAGAGAATGCATGATAATATGAAGACACATAAGCCATCACAGAACGTTCATCTGGTTTTACTGAGTTCACCATATCTTGAAAAAGAGGATTCACAATGCACTGCTTAACCCACAGAGAACATCAAGAAATTTCTTATTTATTTATTCATTTACCATTGTTGAGAATTGTTGATTAGTTTTGTATAAATATGTACCTTCTGGATCTAACATGCGTGGAATATCAAGGTGTTTTTCTGCGACATCAAATGCAGTGTTTAAATTTTCTAGAGGGTTTTCCTGCAAATATAAAAAAAATTATCAAACTATCATATTATTAAGCAATGGTTACTTTGATGAATGTACAACTAATTAGAAATATAAAATAATATGTATCTAAATTTACCATTAGCTCAAAGAGACCAAAATGAACATGAATATGTAAAAGCCACTATGTGGATGGAGGAAATTCTGGTTACAAAGTTAATGCTCATAAAAAATGTTATTAGGATATTTAAAATTCATTCACAACACTTTAAACTTCAAAATAACAAATTACTTTCACCATTTCAATTTTCAAACACTAGAGTATATATACAACTTTAAAAAGGATTAAATTTTCTGCACAAGTTGGCTAATCAGGCATATAGAGAATAAATGTCTAAAAAGCTGCGAGAATGCTAATTATTAAAACAGTGAAACAAAATTAGTCAATTTCTGAAAGAAATATTATATAGGTTTAGGAGAGACGGAAAACTCACCTTGGACAATTTATGGTAATCAATTAATTCAGGCCTGTGTCTATGAATCAGGGCACAAAACGCCAAACCATCTTTAAAGCTGAAGAAATATTGAGAGTGACATGCAAGGAGTTAAGACATCAGTAAAAGGAGGATTGCTTAGCAATGCATGCCTTTTTCTACTTATTAGAATAAAATAACACTCATAAACAGCTTGTCACCATGCATCACCTGACAGGATTCAAGTTTTCATTTAATTTAACTGATTGTTAAAAAAAAAAAACACACTCCTTGCCTGATACATTATGGAGGAATTCAAAATTATAAATAACAGAAGTTTCAGTAATTCCAGAATTGTTTTGTTACTTCACTGTATCAGTACTCTTTTCCAGTTAAAAATGATCTCAATTTCTTCAGCAGACACACTCTGTGTCATTTTGATGCTTGAAAATTGATAATAAAACATCCTAGTAAACAAGCACATTGAAGATACGGATGCTTGTAGGATAATGTAAGGCAATTTTTGTGTTCCTTCAATTTCCCTTTAATTTCATATATAAATAAAAAATGTCTGCACAATGAACTTTGACTGTAATGAAAATGTATTTTTAAGAATGGCACAACACTCTGAATGACCAAAATTAAATGAAACTAAATACATGTTAAAAGAGCAGTATAACAAATGTATACACTTGCCCTTAACAGTTTAAAACAAATGTGCCATTCTTTCATGTCATGTCTTGAAACAAGAAGAAAAAAAAAACATGCAAAAATTACTGTGGAGAAAAGCAATTAAGCAGTTTTAGAACCATTCCATTTTCTAATAATAAGAGTAACATTAATCAATGAAGCTTCACAATAACAGAATGAAAGAAATGGTGCTAAAACTGTTATTTAGAGGAAATCTGGGGAAACAGCAGCATCATAACAAAAAACGAACAGTCGAAAGAACCATTCCAGTGGATTCAACTTTTTGTTTTTTACCCTGGATAACTTGTAATAGTCTATTAGTTCTGGGCGATGCCGATGAATCAAAGCACAGAAAGCCAGACCATCCTTCCAACTGAAATATTAGAGTGACCCCATTGTCAAAAATATTAACTAATTCTCTCTGACCAATCTGCTGGGTACAGATTCTTCATCATCACCCTCAAAATAAAACACTGGCTTTTTTTTCTTCTATGACCAATGATTTTTCAATCATCCCTTGAAAAACCATTAAAAACATTTCACATTTTCATGGATATGATAAAACAGACAGTTTAAACTCCTTTATAATTCTAGAGTTACATAATATGAATTTCATTTTTTCTAGTTCAGAATGGATCTTTTGTAAGTTTATGCTTTCCCAGGTGTGCATTTTAATTCATCTAAAATTTTGTTGCAGATTAATACAGCACAATGACAAGTTACTATGTTTACCTCAGATGGAAGTTCTGTACATTGACATTCTTGTATGGAGCTGTCTTTCTTTGACACCACAGAAGGAGACCTTCTTTAGCAGTCAGTTCTACAAACACAAAAATTCATGTTTATTTCAATTTATTACACACCTAATAATAAATACAGGGTTTATTTGCATATATGTATCATGATTATCTGCAAATACTGATACTTTCAATTCAGTTTGTCTTAAGTTTGTCCATCTTTTCAAGACACATTGCTTGATCATGATGATAGGGTACATTACTGGACAAGCACAAATTGACTTGGAAATCAGAAATGGTTAATCTTTAGTTTATGCTCATTTTCTTATTGATGTACAATTTTTAAAATTCTTAACAGATTTTTTTAAAACCTTAAGTTTTATTCTGAACACTTTTTTTATTTCCACTAATCAGATGAATACTGTCTCCTGTAATGCTGCATTGCACACATACCACAAGTTCAACTTCATTTATATGTAATAAATACAGTTCTATAGGTCAGTTGAAATGTTATCTCTATTCATTGCTAATTTTATATACACGTACATACTAATACATTTTTAAATAACCCCCAATACACATCATTTTGAAAGGAAGTGTATCATCATCATGTCTGTGTCATACTGGGGAAAACCAGCTTACAGGTAATAATAAACTGTACTCTTATTTTGACCTTGAAAAGTCAAATGAAAATTTAACTCAAACCTAATATTAGAAAATGAATAATTCCTTACTAATTCATTTTTTTTTCTTCAAATTAATGTGCATTAATACTCATGTATACTTTATCAAATTCCCTCTAATTAGAAGATAACAAGGTGCCATCTCCAGACTATTAACACAAGTCTGTTCTCCGATCTGCTGATCAATGAACCATGAAATATTTTGACACTGTGTACAACCTAAAACATTAAATGACAGTGCATGAAGTTTTTCTTTATTATTGACTGATTGCTGGTGTGCCTGAAATTTTATTCGTACTGGTGTTATTGTTATTAAGTTTTTATAACCACTATGCTGTTTTTACATTACCGGTAAGTCTACCTTGGCTCTTTAACCTCTTTTGCCAAAGACTAGACAATTGCAGTTTACACTGAAACATCTTCACCCAAGACTCCTAGCTGCTTAATGTATGAGCATGCCCAACATTTGATTGCTGAATAATGATGTATGCCCTTTTTATCTCCTTCATGAAAAACAAATTTTTCTAATATATCAACCAGATCATGAATTGTGGTTATTTTTTGGAGGGGAACTTAACAGATATATGCATATGAAGTCTTCTGTCATTTTCCAGTTCATTACTATTCTGCTAAATAAAATATATCTCAAACACTGATCCATTTGCATTCCCTTCCAAGCTTTTATTTCACAATTCATACAACTTAATTAGCATATACTTCATATATATGTAATACTGACCAGATAACAGATGATTATTAATGGGAAACATATGGTATGAAATACTTAATGTATAAATGTGATATATATGAAAACACAAATGATTGGCAGTCAATATGGAAGAGCTCAACAGCAAAAACTCAGCTCAAAAACATGTAAACTGATACAGTAGGACTTGTTTCCGTGCATGGTTTATTAAACAGACTACACTGTAACATGTTCTATGACTGGCTGGTATTGCTAACATTGGACAAAATCAGAAGCCTTGCCCCATCTTCTACTGTTTACAATTAGTGTACAGTTATATACACTTGGCTGGCTGCTATCTTATTCAGACTATAAATAAAACACTTGGAGCACTAACTAGCAACATGTGCAATATGCTGATACAAGCAAATACTCAGGTATGTTCAGAACCACTCTCGAGATTGTGTTCAGTGACTGTATTACAAAACATACCCTCCACTGTAATATCTTGAATGGCAAAACGGAGGATAATGGTCCAGATCATACCCAGGGTCATCTTAGGATTTCCATCCACAATTTCTGAAAAATTAAGAAGATTCTATAAATACATGTATATACGCAAGTACACGAAGAGTGATCCCCCATAAAAAGCGGTGTTACAATATTTAAGTATTTCTTGTGATGCTGATTGTCAATAGCTCATATTTCATTGGAAAAAAATTTTGATTTTTCCCTCAGACTTCAAATATGTTATATTCTAATGTGTAATCAAAGGCATAATATATGTACATGTATGTTAATTCAAATTTTAAAACATTAAGTTATCAATTATCTTTGCATAAGAGTAAAGACAATGACATAACATATTTATTTTTAAGAATGTGCAGATAAAATATTTCTCAAGGCCAACAAACAAGAAATAATCTCTCAAGTGACTCACTTTCATGTAGCTAAAAGTTTATATCATACCAAAAAAATTACCCTAGATGAATTAGACACCTAACCTAGAAATCTGTGTGCATCATGACACATTTCCCTGGAGGGGGCCAATGTTTTTGTACGACTACGTTTATGTGCCTGTGGCCTAATTTATCAGTGGCTAGACCTGTTTATACATAAAATGGATGTACATTCTTTCAACACCTTTTAAGTGTAAAAGTTACACAATCTGGGTAAAAACATAACTGCAACCATCTATGACTTGATGCTTTCATATCTCATTCCAAAAACCTTTTAAACGTTTGTATATATGTGCATATAAATTATTTTTTTCCCGGTATTTTATTTCCCTGTCAAACCTCTTATTCTCTTTTCCTCTTTGGAAGAAATCATGTCAATACTACAACTCTTTCAAAGAGACTCTGACCTTTATGTTATTACAAGGCAAATACTATAATCAGGAAATTAAATCTTGTAGATAAAAATGATACACATGAGTGAAGAGCCTGTCTCTTTTATTCTGTGTGAACAAGGTCTGTGACCTTAGGTCTTGACTTATCTGCAAAATTTAATCAGTGTTAAAACTGTAAAGCTTCTAAAGGCCAATCCAAAATCAAACTGCAATTCCTTAAAGAAATTTATCTTGTTCCAGAATTTACAAATGATAGCAAAGGTCACAAAGCTTTCTTTCTGCTTGGTCTTTATGTATATGTATATGCTGATCAAGTAGATTGGGAGCTTACAACCTATAATATTATGTCCATGGGTATTGTGTCTCCTTATTTTCTCCAGTGCCAGATATGAAATACTAGGGACTAATGTGGATACAAAAGCTAACAATTAACAATATATTTCTATATACTGATGAATTAAAAATATTGTGACTTAATATTTCTTCTTTTTTTCCCTCCAAGTTTATTTAGGTACTCATAATTTTTCAACATATATATATATTCTAGACTTGGCACCTTTGCCATTAATGGATTTGTTTAAACATTTTTCCCTGATGACTATCTTGAACAGAGATTCCAAATATGTAGGAGTGTAAAGATATCTATGGGTACCACTTTCCATACAAGGAAGTTTAACTTTTACAGTACCTAGTATCAATAAATTCCTAATTGGGAACAGAATTTTGAATTCATTACAATACTCAAGAATTTCTTGGCGAAAATAACTTGCAAAGCTGAACATTTATTAGTTCTTTCATTTAATTACAATAAAACTTCTCTTGCTGGGTCTTGTCTCTCCTTGTGTCACATTAAAAAGATGCACAATCATTATCATTTTCTGGATACTTTACCTTCAGCACCAATGGAAACCAGTCTGACACCTTTTGATGCAATGAAGTCCAAAGCTTTGTTGACATTTGCAATTTTGTGGAACCTCATTTTGCCTTTGTCTGGCTTGGGGAGCTGTTCCCCAGAGATCACTTCCAATAATAACATCAATTTTAAACCATTTCGAAAATCTTCCTCGATGTTTTCTATTTGAGTACCAGCTTTTCTTAAATGGGAGTTGCACCATGCTGTGAATGTCTGAAAATAATGATTTTAGTCTTATTCCATATATGTGTGTAACTATGGCAAATGTGCAAAGAAATACAACATAAAAAATATCTAGTTTTCATCTTCATACAATTGCTATCACAATATATTAAGTGTTCACTGAAGTGGACATTTCTAGATATACAACATTCATGTTACAGTTGACTAATCTTGACTTTCAAATTATTATTCAAATAAAATTGACAGATCTATGTCAGTCTTCTTTCCCCCTCTACAAAAATGTTGCTGAACAGATGTTTTACTCATCAGATTTGAAATATATTCATAGGTATTCATGGTATTATATCATTTACTTGAAAAGTTATTGCATTGCAAATGTTCACAAGGCCTGAACTTGTTAACTAAGCATTGGACTTGCTAAGGTGTATCAGATGCTGAATACTTAAGAGTTCTCTTGGAAAATTTCAATGCTGTCTTTAAATTTTTTTTGATTAGGTTCAATAATCTCTGATTAAAATTGGTCTAAATTCATTTATTATTGTTAATATTCACACGTGATACTTTTATTTCAGTGCATGAATGTGATAAATTACTCAAATTAAATTTGAAAAGTTTATGAAACCTCGGAGGTTAATGCTTAAAATCTTTTTTAAAAGAAGGCAAGTATTTCAATACTTTCTGATTTCTAATAGGACAGCTTGACTCAATTCCAACCTTTTAAATGAACCGAAACTGAAAGTTATGCAATAGTGTCATGTAACACAATTTTTAGACTAGCTTAAAAGCCGTGGAAATTGTCACTTGGCTTTTAAATTTTCCCTTAAAAAGGAAGGAGAAGAATATGATAATACTTTTGTCACTTAACCAGTCAAGAGATTCACACAATGATGAGTAGGCAACCACTTATTCCAATATTAGCATTAGATGAAGTTTTCTTTTCTTTCTCATTTTTTTCTTCCCTAAAAAATATTTATATTTCTATGTGTTGAGAGCAATTGGATACACTGAAAATGTTACTTTCCATCCTCTAAGCATGATAAGTGCACTTGCAAATATAACTGTTATAAATAAGTGAAATATTTAAATAGCTTCAAGCGTTTTCTTTGGAGGGGGATCTTAAAGGTTATCTCTTTTGTGAGATTATATTTAGTTTCTCTAGGATAATGCATGCCCTGTATACAAGCTGATGGAAGGTTGTACTATAATAAGTAACAGGTGTATCATATTTCCTTCCAGTGGTTTATGAGCTTGTGACTGGCTCAGTTAAGGGACAGTTGATTTAAAGCCATCTGAAAGACTCTGAAAATTTATTAAATGGTTTGTTTGATGATGATAAACCCCCTGCATAGTTCAAAAGAATGCTGACTAGCGGCAATTCCTTAAATGGCCATCACAATATAGCACATCAATATGAAACAACTGGCTCTAATTATACTCCATGTATTGAGTACATGGCTACTCTATCAGGCTTACTTCATTGACAGACTGTCCAGATTTGTTTACATAGAATGAATTTTAAATGTATACAGAGGCTTATCTATTTTGTGTACACAGGAATGTGCTGCAATATTTCTGGTATGTGGAGAATTGCATATTTTGACAGGTTACACATGACTAGGCAAGGACAGTCTAAATATTGTTTTATACATTTCTTTAACATTAGGTAAGATGATGACCTCTAAACCCAACAAATCAAGTTCACGTAATCGACAAGGAGACTCTCTTATTTGTCACAGGTACTGAATGAAGGATGTGACCTACATTCCAATTTACACTTGTTCTGCAAGTTGACCCATGGAGGTTACAGAAGGTTGATTCAGACAAATTCCTGAGATTTTATCAATATTTAAAGGCTCCATTAACACAATACAATAAGATAAGACTTTACTAAATTTAAAAGTCTCATTATCATTAAAATACATCGGAGGATAGCTCCGCCCTGTAATACAACGTTTCCAAATTTGGCAAGTCGACGTAATTCTCATCATGGCGGCTAAGTTGCAAACTATAAACATGTACGTAAAACCGGTCCCAATATGAACGCATTTTCTTCCATAACTATACGACACAAAACCATTTTATCATTCTGAATTGCTTCACTTACAAACACTTGTTTAATCCATGGAATTGAACAATAATGCCATCAAACATGTTGAGATTACCTTCTTTTGCTGTTTTTCCCATGCTGGATCCAGCAAGCCCTCTCGATCCCACTCCTCTTCCTCCTCCATATAGCCATCATATTCCTGATCCGTCATTTTTTCTAGTTACAAAATGTGTGAAAATCCTTTAGAAATGATAAAACTCTTACTATCCAGTTGGTAAACTCTCCCTGCCTGTATTTTACATGGGGCTTCTGTTCCTCCCCGCCAGAGGTCGCAATCACGTGATCACTTCCGGAAGCATTCGGTGTGTTTCGCATTCGGAACTCTCTCACGATGAATGAAAATCGAAAAGTGGGCGGATCCATCGAAAGAGCATTTTTTGCAATTTACCAGAAACATATGAAAAAATAAGCTCTACTTGTTTGCAGAAAAATGACATACTCAATTACAAAGAACTTCATTTAAACATATATGTACATTTTTATGTATTTATATAAATCCTCTTGGATATTTTTAAAAATTTCCTTGTTACTCGTCAATATTCAATTGAAATAGACATTGCAATTAATGCTAAACCTTTTGCATATTTTATGAATTTAAATAAGGATTATTATACTTACAGAACAGAAAATGGTAATGTCTATTTTTAGGTTTTGTTTTCTTTGAAATAATGAGATTAGATCTGCACTGGTCTTTGATAGTAAGTCGGTTGAATGTAATGATGCATAAATGTCTGAGGAATCAAATAAGTCTGACACATTCTGGCGATATAATCGCACAGAAGTCGTCCTCCGCACAATATTTTGTAGAAAGTACGAAAACAATGCGTCTAACATTGATTCGTGTGCAAATCACATGTAGTATAATTTACGTTCCTAATAATATTTAAGTGAATAAAAATTATAAGGGAAAGGGGATCTGTCCTCCGGTATTGAATTGTAAATTAACATGATGAAATGTTCGAATTGCTAAACAAATAGTACTACAGTAAACGGTTTATAAAATTATTGAAAGCCAATCTGGTATATGTTAATTTTTCATACTATGTGTGGAGCATATGCATGTACTGGTATCCTAACGAACACCATATGCACCTCTTGCTTATGCAATATGTCAATTCAGCAGATCCAGACGTGTTTGCTATCATTAACACCCTCTTTGTTAGATCAGTAATATGTCGTAATGACCACTCACTGCTCTTTTGGTGTCAGTTCATTCAATAAATCTGCGACGGATTGCCCATTATGGAAGAATTTGCGTTATTTCAAACTTTTGGTTTTAAAAATGGGAGGGGTTCAAAGGGGTTTGTCAATTCCTTATAGTTTTTCGTTTTAAACAATGCAGGATTTACCTACATGTAGTCGCGCAATATTATGAACAATTTAAGTCTATTAATTTCTTTTCTTGCAGAGCTATTTTCATTAGTGTGTTCGATGTGTTTTCTAGAATGCACATTGATATGTGTTATATGTCAAGGGTATTTAAATAAGGGTTTCTACTGTATGATCACTTCGTTTTCAGCTAGATGTGTCCGAAATAGAAAACAATTTTACACATTTATCTTTAAGTTTAACAAATTAGCATTTGTTACAACATGCACTTTATATTTGTAGAACGCTGTATTCCGTAAAGACGTCATTAAAAATTCAGATTCGAGCAATTTTTGCATTTGATTAAATAAATTATGAATAGTACATTATAATCATGTAAAGGTACGTGAAGAAGAAGCAACACTATAGTTTCATAATTTATTTATTTACTTTGTAAATTACAAGGAAGGGAAGGAGGTTTATTACTCATATCAAATAAGGGAAAGTCACATGCCTGTACACATAGGAGATTGCTTTAAGTATTTTCTTAAAACATATTTTAACTTTGTCAAAGCGTAGGGGTCATCAATTATAAACACAATTCACTCACCTTTTTTTTGGGGGGGGGGAGGGGGGCATTTTTGACACTTTTTTTATTTATACAGAATCCAGTAACATATTTCAGTGGAATATTCATCTTTACAATTAATGCCAATGTTTTGTGATATGTGGACTATTTTAAAAATTAATATATACATATACATGTCTATCTCTTTAGCTTTGGCAAGGCTATACCTTTGATTAATGAAATAAAGTCTATAACTGAATTAAAGCAATTCTGAAAACTGATCAGCACTCTTTTTCCGGCACACAAATTAAAAAAAAAGAAGAATTTCCAGACAGTAAAGTTTTATTTTTAATCTCAATGATATTAATAAACATAGTATATATACATGTATAATAACCTTATCATTATAAAGCAATTTATTACACTACCATATTCATCTCATTTCTTTTTCCCCTTCCATCCCTCCTCATATTTAGCTATAGAAATAACGAGAATCCAAAGATTTTTCAAAGAAATTTTACCGGCATATTTTTAACGGAAACTAATAATGAAATGATGTTAAATCTCCTATTGACCTTCAGAACAAAATTAAAAACGCTTTATTTTTGGAAATTTCTCGGAATGTAAATTGATTACATACATGTACCATTTTCTCTTAAAAATACTTATAGTTATATCTTAGGTTACGTATTTAAAAAAGATATCGTATAATAATTGCTATTACAGTTTTTGCATAATAGTCTCTTGAACATAAATACCCCTGTGATGATCTGACTGTCATTCCCAGGAAGTGACAGATGAAAGACCCGCTATGGACGAATTTGAGTTGGGGGGGGGGGGGCAGAGACATTTAAATAGGAAAGAAATAGCATTTAAATAGGCCAGTAACATTGCCGGTGGCCATAAAGCACAGTTTGTAGAACATCCAAGAAGAGTTCAGAGGATATCATCCTGGTCTGAACTGTTCCATTTTCACCTTTCATGCTATACACTCAAGCTGATATCGTTTTCGCAATCTTTGAAAATGATGAAGTACAATAATAGAATACAAAACAAAATGTAGGATTTTTTGATCGTAAAAGACGCGTAGAATGCAAGGAGCTCCCTCTCGTTTTCTGGTAAGTTTTCCCCCCTCTCTTTTGGTTCTGTTATTTTTTTTTATGCTTGTCACTATATGCCTGCTACCCTTTCAAAAACAATACTATGTGCTAAAGTCACTGAAACTCCTCATCTCCGATCTCCAATCGCATCATCTCGGGTCTTTTCAACAAGCTCGGGAAAATTTACATCATCGGATGTTAAAATTTTAAACAAAATGTGGTCGCTTCACGTTTAATAAAGTACTGGATAGACAGAGTTGATGCTCCCATCTGTAGTATATTTTATTTCAATGTTTGGGGGGAGGGGGGGGGGGGGGTCGTGGACGCCTAACACATTCAAGGTTGTTTTTTCAGCTTGTACAAAAGTCCCAAGAAGTTGCTCCAATCTCACTTCGCTAGCCAAATTAAAAACTGGAAATTCTAAGCGAGTGTATAAAATTAAATCTGGATGCGTGAAAGGGTGGTTCTATCTTAAACAGAATATTACAATACTCCAAAAATGTCTAAACTGGCTAGTATTAAGCTATGCTGATTCGTTACTATCTCAAATGAGAATGTCTGAGCTGCAAGCAGACTGTCATTATGTATCTACATTAACTTTAAAAATCAATAAAATAGAAAAATCAATATATAAAATGAGTATTTATTAATAAAACAAGAAATCAAATGAGAATACACTATAGGACAAATGATTCATGTTCACATTACCATTTAGATTTAACAATATTTATCACCTTTGTGACATGTAGAGAATATGAAGGATGTACAGAACAAATACATGTAACAATTACATATCATTGTTATTCAGGTGCATCATGGTGTCCATCTCAAAGGGCCCTACTTTTAGTAAAGTACATTAGAATAATATGGAATGTATTTAAAGAGGACCATTTTGTATGATTTTTTTCCAGTGTCATGAAGAAAAATTCCTACTGGTATTTATAATTTTCTTTTTTACCAGGGGGGGGGGGGGGTTAAAGGGGAGGGAAAATATGCTCACAAGGAGTTTACATGAAAATATTCTTTGACCTTGACTTACAATTTAACCTCAAGCACTTTGAGAGGAAGATGAGCCAGATGGGGACAAAGGGAGAGAAAATATGTTCAAAACAAGGATTTCACACAGAGATCTGAAATAACCGTGACCTAGAAACTTAATTAATTGATTGATTGTATGTTGTTTAAGGTCCCATCGAGAATTTTTCACTCATATAGAGACGTCACCAAATGCTGGTGAAGGGCTTCAAATTTTGACCTTTACTCGGCACTCAGGGCCATTGAGCAGTGAGGGATCTTTAACATGCCAACGCCTGCCGTGACACGGGGCCTCGGTTTTTAAGGTCTCATCCAAAGGACCCGCAACTTTCACTTCAAAGTGCAGAGTGCATGGCGAAGGAACAGTTGCTACCCATTTTTATCGACTTAGGTCAATCGCGGACAAGATTTGAACTCACGACCTCCTGATCACGGAGCAAGCTCTCTACCGACTGAGCTACCGTGAACTGTTAGAAACTTGATTCAAGGTTGTTGCATAGCTCAAAAGGATTTTGAAAAGAAATGTTTTTCTGACCTTGACCTTTAATCTAGAAAATTGGTTCAAGATCAAAGCAAACACTCTACACACTTACATGCAGTCCCTCTAATGACTGAAATTTGCACCAGTTTTAGCCAAGGGGAGTGATTTCAAAATATATTCCAGACAAGTAAAATCAGTTGGACAGTCAGACAGATCACTGTAGGGCACCTGCAGACCAGGTCCCTAATTATTCATTGCATTTCAAAAAAAAAAAAAAAAAAAAAAAAAAAAAAAAAGACAAAAGCCAAGCCCATCCCTAATGGATACTGTATACAGGGAAATTTTTGGCCTCTGTTTTATTTTCGCCCCTTTCACCCTAGACACAAGTGGGCGAATTTAAGATAGGGCGAATTCAAAGAAAACAGTATATTTTCTTAAACAGAACCATGACTGGGCCAATTTAAAACAGGGCAAAATTGTTTGCAATTGCAAAAGGGCAAAAATAACACAGGTCGAAAATAATCCTGTATACAGTAAATGGAACTGGTATCCTTATCACAGCCAATGTATACATCACAGATTAAAAGATATATACCAAGTATTTACTATCATTTTACACATATTGCTGTCTTGAAAATAGCAGACATCAGACTACAGAAAACGAATTGACAACCTATTACAGTAACATGACTCATCAGAATGTCCTATTGCTGCCAGTTGTAAAAGTCATGATCAAATCACTTATAGAAGCTTTTCTCCAACATTACAAGTGATCCATTCATGAAACACTTTTG